TTCGTAGACTTTGCTGAGCTGCCAGCAAAGTTTGGTGCAGATAATTTGACAGGCGAAACGATTGAGCTTCTGGGCCCTGTAATTGAGGAGGTCCTTGCCTAAGGACTCTCCTGTGTGCATTTTCCGCTGCCATCTGTAATTTCGTGTTGGCAAAAGTCCTGGCTTTTGATGGCTGCGGTCATGTCCTTCTTGGAATTGGCCAAACCTACGGAAAATGTGAAAAGTGAAAACAACTTTTACTACTGTCTCCGGCTGGCCCCTCACTCTAGCACCTCTGTCTACTGCACTCCGAGTCCTTTTTGTGTGTGTTTGTCTGTTTCGTTGTGTCCTTTCTGGCGCCTGAAAGACGCGTCGCTTGTTTGCCATTTCCTCAAACTGCAAACTTTGCCATAAATTCCCCGGTTTGTCCTCCCCCGTCAGGGATTTCTGTTTCTGCTATGTTTTTTTGTTTTTTTTTTTTCGGTTTCTCTGCTGTCGCGACAAAATGCATTTAAATAAATTATTCGACAGACCAGTGTCGCGTCATTTTATTAGCTGCATGTTCGAGCTTTGCCCGAGCTCACTTTAATTATGACTTGATGACTTGATGGGCCAGAGTGCACTCTGGAGTTAGCTATCGATTAATGGCCAGCACACACACTCTCGCGGGTGAAAAATTCGTGAAACCAAACCCACAACAAGGTGGGGAAATAAATTAGCGAGCAGAACAGGTCATTGCACCGCTTAAAAGGCAACCCCAGGAACATAAATATATATATTCACTCTTTCTTTCTTTCTTTATTATTATTTTTTTTTTTTTTTTGTGTAAATATCTCTGGCAAATTTGTTTTATTTTGTTTTGTGTGTTGTCCACGCCCTCGGAACAAAAGTCTGATTAATTTGACACTGAACCTAAAAGCCCCGACAACGACGACACCAGGGGGAATCCTGCCTCGAAATTTATTTCTGCCTGCAACTCGGACGGAGGACGTCTGTTTGCACTTTTTGCCAAATTTTGAATTATGGCCACACGGGCCGGCAGCAAATGTTAAACTTTAATTCAATTTCGTATGTGTGGGCGTTCCAAAAATGGTCAAACGTCAAGTGATTTTCTCTGTATATATATAAACACTATATGCTTTGCATAAATGTTGGTTATATAAGCGGCAGAGCTTTGTTTTGCGTGCCTAAAAAAGGCCGGCAAACCGACGGCGGCGACAGCGTTGTGTCGATGTGGATGCGACTTTTGCCGGCCGTTGACTCTGGGCCACTCCAAAAATTCTTTAGACTTTCAGGGTTTTCGGAGGGAGAAAATATATAAAATACGGTAGGGGGGAAACTCGGCTTTATCAACCATTCAGCCAAGCCGGCACTTAGCACAGTCAACACTCTGGCATTGCGGTCACGTTCTCCTTGCCAGCGAAAAAATAAGAAAAGAAAATAACTTAATAAGAGAAGAAAAAACAGCAAAAATATCACTACAAATATGATTTCTCTGCTGCTTCTCCTTTGCGTTAATTGTTTTATTCGCACAATTTGCATATACGAGTAAATGCAAATCATACCGCGAGGAATGATTGCGAAAAATCGTATCTGAAATTATGCTTATCGTCAAGGGAAGTGCTGCCGATCGGTGGTCAACTGCAATTCCTAAATGTTTTTTAACTGCACAGGAAAAATAAATCAATGTAAAGGGATTTTTAAATTACATTTTAAATATTAATATATATATATACATTTTAAATATTAATATATATATTTAAAATATAAATAAAAAATAGAGTGAAAGGAAGAGCAGGAATTGATAAGAATTCTGCTTGACCTTTGCGAGCTTTTTAAAAAATAATAATTAATTAAACTAGCTAAAATCTCTTACTAAAAAAAATCTCTAAAAATTAAGAACATAATTTCGGATACTTTAAGATTAAACATATTAAAAATATAAATATAAAATAGGAAGAAAGGAAGAGGTGTCTTCCCCTGAAATTTATATTTTAAAATATTTAATTAATAAAACTAGCCAAAATCTCCTACCGAAAAAAAATCTCTAAAAATTAACAACTTAATTTCGGCTACCTTAATATTATTTTATTTATAATATTTATCATAAAAATTAAAACTTTCTCCCTGTGCATCTTCCATGAAGCCAAAGACGCCGCTCTTGAACTTGTCAACTTAACAATTCTCGCTTCATTTTATTTTTCGCTGTGACATTGCAGCAGCAAGTTTGAGTAAACAATGCTTGGGCTTGCATTTAATTCAAGACTCTGGCAATTGAAAAATCAAAATTGTATTATATTTTTTCCTCTTATAATTATGCGCATTTCTAACTAAACAACGATCGACCTTCAGCATGCAATTTTTCGTATTTAACAAGCTTGCCAACTAATTTATGCCACTGCAGCAACTAAAGCGTTGAAATAAAAGCAAAAATAACAACAACAACAAAAATGAATTTTTATTCGAAGTTTACATATTCGGAGACTGTTGAAGCGGCCTATGTTAAGTCAGTTTCTGTTAACAATTATTAGCCACTTTTTTGATATAAACAATACAAATTGCCGTCGCCTGTTTTCGTTTTGTTGTTGCTTTTGGCTTTGCCATTTGCCTTTGATGATGCCAAGTTTTATTTTGTATTTTCATTACGTCATTGTCAGGCTAAAATTGGCTTATAAATAGCCCAACACGTCAGCTGAAAGCAGCAGAAGGCAAAGTCTCGCGGGCCCCGAGAATAATTTTATTATTTTATTTCTTTGCCACTCAACTTGTTGCCATCGTTATTGCACCTTCCTTCTCGTTCGCCTAGTTTTCGAATGAAATTTTGAACTAATTACCGGCAAGGTCAAAGGTTGACATGCAAGTCGGTGTTTTGCAAGGATTTTCAGGGGAATTGATAAGAAAATTAAAAGCACTATACGTTTCTGAGAATTTTGTAGGTCGGTTTTTGATAATTTCCACAGGGAAAAATGCTAAAGTATATAATGTTGTATTCTTAGGAAAACTAATAAATAAAAATCTTTATTTAATTGCTATAAATGTGAATTTTAATTGCCTTCAAATTTATACATGTTCCACATGGGCTTTAAATACTTTAAAAAAATATGCTACATAATTTTTTGAATTCTTTAAATATATAAAATTTAAAAAACTTGCTTAAAAGCAACAATTATGATTCATAAATCTATATTTAATAATGATAAGCAATTGAAATGTTTGCTATAACATAAACTGAGCAAACCACAATAATGCTGCACAATCCCCTTAAATGGTGACACATTTCCCCGCAGTGTAGAGCATAATCAAATTTGCAGCAGACCCACGTATTAGTCAGCAATTTGCTTATTCTCGCTGACTACGTCAGTGTTTTTTTCACTGTCGCTTACCGCGCTCGCTTCACTTCATTTGGATTCGTTTCAATTGACCCCCAGAAGTGAACTCTGGGAACCCGGGAACTTGGAGCTACGCAGGTCTGATAAGGGAACCGATGTCCAGTCCGCTGCCGTTGCCAATCCCCTCTTGCTGCCGTCAATTTAGACAATTCAATTCCAAAGCTCGTTTAAGTACACACAAAAAACTATTTGAGATCAAATAACAATTTTTATATGGTTTTGGTTTACAAAAAATCAGTTTTTAAATTATATAAAAATATAAAATTATATGGGACTTTCTTTATATTAATTTGTATTTTTTTAAGGCAATTCAATCATATATAAAACGTATAACAAATTATTCTTTAATATTTAATAGCAATTCTCTTAGATCAAATTGTTATTTATATCTTTAAAATGAACCCCATTTTCCCCCAGTGCATTAGTTCATGTTATTGTCACTTTATTATCACTTACTTTGCATACTATATATACATATACTACATGTGTTCTTCTCAATTGACTGATTCATCGGCTAAATGCGGTTCATGTGCGCGCGGGGAGCAAGTTCAAAAGGCAAATACACGAGGAAAGTGGGTTAAAACGAAAGTCAGACCCAGACCCAGTTTCATACCACAGCCCCCCAGTCCCTCAAGGTGTTCCAAACACCAAAAATCGCAGAGGCAGCGGCTGACTTGAAAGTAAATTCCAAAAGAAACAAATACATAAAGAGCTCATACAAAGAATAAAGTCGATTGTTTGCTGTCAATATGGGAATGGCCTTTGGAGATTGGGAAACCAGGCGCCGATAAGATCGTCAAATAAATAAGCCATAACACACACGCATAACAAAAAGTAACAGGATAAAGATCTTGACAAAAATTAAGCACTTTAAATATTTAATAAGAAAATTATTGATACTACAAGAAATTTAATGAAATCAGTAAAAATAAGATACTTAAACTTAGACCCAAGTTTTCCGTTTGCAAAAATCCTGAAATATTATTTCTGAAAACCTCATTAACCAGACATTTTCCCCCTGTGCAGATATCAGTCTGTAATTTGTTGTAACCCACAACAAAAGGCTAGCAATTAGCGTATTGGCCAACTTTGCTGGCGACGGAAATAAACAAATAAATACTCGTCGCGACAGGGGGTCTGTGAAAAATGCGAAAAACCAAAAGAAAACAGAGAAAACTTAGTTAATGTCCCTCACGCACACACCTGTTCGTTGGACATCTGTCAGATGTGACAGTTTTTAGCGCTATAAATATACGTATTTTCGCCAGGCGATTCTGTATGCGAAATGATTCTGCCGAAAAGCACGGACATTGAATTGTTATAGCCGTTAATTTATGGCCCGAATAAAAGCGTTTCAATGGAAATGGCAATATCTGTGGCAAATCGGAAATAACCTACACACGCGAGCAGATGTGTGTGTTGTGTCTCTGTTCGGCTATATAGTTATGGCGGGAGCGTTACGGAGCTTGGAGCGTGGGCTAGTTTGGTCGTGTGGGCAGCGCTCAATTAAGAGCGGGCCGCATTTTAAATAATTTGATTTTCCCAGTGGCTGTCTTCTAATTTGAGCAAACAACTCGCACGCCCAAAGACAGAACATCGAGCTAGCGAGCGAGCTTCTCTCCTATATGTACATTGTATATGTTCTCACTCTCTTGGCAGATAAATAATGCGATACGATACACAACATATATCCCGGCGATCTCTCCATCTCGAGATCGTTGCCAATTTCGCCACAGCCTCAGTCGCAAACGAACAACGAACCATCGAAGTTTAGAAAATATCTAACAATTAAAAGCGATCGCGCGCGCGCATTTCCTCAACTACAAAAAAAAAAAAACGCGAATCGCAAATCGAAAACGAAAATAAATTTGGAAATTGCAATTGTCGTCTGGTTTTTAGAGCGCGCGTGCATTGCCAAAAACGAAAAATATATATCTGATACGAGCAAGGAGAAGAAAAATAAATACAATTTTCTCGGAGCGGATTAAAAAATAAGAAAAAGGAAAAACAACGCAAAAAACGACGCACATTTTTTCTTCAGTTCTCAGTTCAGTTGCATGCCGCAGCGGAATCAAAATATATATACTTGCCCGCTTACATATATAATTATATATAGCTAAAGATATTTGGGTAAAGCAAAAGCGCCAAGGGAGGAATAATACTTTGAGAGGCGTTGCCCGAGGCCAAGGAAAAAATCAAAATATATATAATAAGTATATATAGAGAGGGAAACAAATGAATGCAGCTAGAGTTAAGTAGCCAAAAACTAGAGCAAGGCTTAAGCTCACCACTCACCGCCAAATCTCTGTAATTATATAATCAGATTTTTTGGCAACAAATTGTTCCCAAGAGAGAGAGAGCAGTGAACTGAACACGTGTCATTAGATTTAAAGCCCCCGACAAGCACACGATATATTTATTGCGTTGATTATGAGCGCTTTCGCCGAACGGAATATACATTTCAATCCTTTGCGAAATCAGCCAACGCTTATCGTGAAGCGCCTGAGACCGCCGGAGAACAAAAGCCACGAAAACTTGAGCAACTTGAGGAACTGAACAAGTGAGCAACTGAGCAACTTAGGAACTTGAGCAACTGAACAACCGAACAACGAATATATAGCATCTACATCACAAAAACAACGAACTCTGCTCGCAGCTAAACCAATCGAACCTTATTTATTATAATAAAAGCCCTTGCAGAAATATACGAACTATATATAACAAATATTTATTTAAAAAAAACACCAAAACAACGAACGAATTTTTCTACAAAACCAACAAATACTGCGACAACAACACCAACAACAAAAAGCATAAAGACAAAAAAGGATCATCAACATTTTGTTAGGGAATTTTCGAAACTCTTCTTTGTAAATACTTGAAACTAGATTTTAGTTATTGTTGATATTGCTTAGCTCAAATAGAACATATATACATATATCATTGTTGTCCAATTTGTTGTGTTAATTTTTATATAACGAGTACTAGTCAGCCGCCCAACTGTGCGTATACGCAACGCCACGGCGTATACTTAATATTTAAGCGTAGAAAAAAGTGTAGGTTATTAGGCTAACAGAGAAAGAAAACGAAACCAAATCGAACAAATGATGAAAAATCTAAATGGTAGAACGCATAATAATGCGTGCTACCATCCATATTACCACCGAACATTGCACTTGGCACAGGTGCACAACCAGCAGCAACAGCAGCAGCAACAGCAAACAAACCATAACGCCTACGGTTTTCCACAACGCAACGGAAATGGAAACACTTATGGCAATATTGCTAGCAGCGCCTACGCCAGCAGCATCAATGGCAACCAAGCTGCTGAAATGGCTGCCATGGGACAAATGCAGAACTTTTTTAGCCAAGAGCAACAAGAGTACAATAACTGCTTGTCCATTAATTATTATCAGCAGCAGCAACAACAGCAGCAGCAGCAGCAACAGCAGCAGCCAATTACTGCGCCCACAACAGTAGCAACATCAGCGAACAACAACAATAATAATAACGATCATTTTTCAATGGACGCAAGTGAAATAGCCAGTTTTCTTGCCAGCGAGCTTTTCCTTCAGCAGGTATAAAATAATAATAAGCAGGCAATATCGATCGTGAAATTTGGGAAATTGGGCGCGAAAACAATTGGCGGAAAGCGTACTACAACTAATAATAAAACGTGGTGTGTGCGTACTTATTCATCGACCGAAATAGCCAAAGATCCACCAAGGGGCGGGCGTAATATAAACAAAGTGATGGATTGGGTCCCCTCTGCTTCTTCGATTTGTTTTTGACAAAAACAAAAAAGAAACACGCTCCCTAATTCTCTGAAATATATATATTTGAGGTCTTAAGAGTTTTAGAAACTGTGTTTGCTTTGATTTGTGGATTAAATTTGATTATTTTTGTTAGTGGTAAAGAAATACTGTAAAGGTTTTAAGTGGTTTGAGTGGTTTCGAGGGACATTCACATAAAAAGCTAGGATCAATGTATCGTAGAAGGATTTTGAAATATTTAAACCTGCTATATTCTATATTAAAACCCCTTTTTATACCCTATAAAAACCTCCCTTAACCAACTTTCGTTTTTATTTACTTACAGCTCGGCACCTTCGATGGCATTCAGAGCGCTCCAACGCTGACCACGCCCACGTTGACCCCCACAACGATGCGCAGCATCGAGGAGAGCTTCTTTGAGATGACCAATGATCCAGTGACCGCTCCCTATCAGGCCGGCTTCAAGCCGCCGCCACTTGCTCCGCTGGTGAACAATGGTAGCGGAAATGGAAGCGGTAATGGAAATGGAGTCACTGGAATTCCCACCACCACAGCCACGGCCACCGTGGTGGGCGTGATTAATCCGCTGATAAGCCAGCAGGTCTACGAAGTTAGCAGTGTGGTGCAGGGAACCGATTCCGGAGACTCCAACAGCTCCTGGGGCGATGGGCAAAACAATGACGATCAGGACACAGACGAAACTTGTAAGTAATCAAAGGATATTCCCTCGCGAACTGTGCAGCTTACTAAACGGTGCCTTTTTGTTCAAAATTCCAGCAAGTGCCCACACGGACAGCACCTCGTACCAGAATGGACACATGCCTAGCGGCAGCGGTGCTAATGGAGGCGTCAACAATTTCAGCAATGTCCTGGCGGCGGTGAGCTCCGGTCGCGGCTCCAACACGAATACCTCGAACAGTGCCACGCCAGCGCGTCGTGGAGGTGGTCGGAGACCGAATCGATCCGCCAACATGACGCCGGAGGAGGAGGAGAAGCGACGCATTCGCCGGGAGAGGAATAAGCAGGCGGCGGCTCGTTGCCGCAAAAGGCGAGTCGATCAGACCAACGAGCTCACCGAGGAGGTGGAGCAGCTGGAGAAGAAGGGCGATCAGCTGCGCAAGGAAATGGAGTCGCTGACGGAGGTGAGGAAGCAGCTGGCCTACTTCCTGGAGGCCCATCGCCCCACCTGCAGCAAGGTGCGCGCCGATCTGCTCAGCGTGAACACCTGCAACGGGCTGATTGCCCCCGTGGGACTCCTCAGTGCCGGCAGCTGCGGCAGCGGATCGAGCAGTCATCATAACAACAACAGCAACGATAGTAGCAATGGCACAATCACCGGCTTGGACGCCACACTGAACTCCACCGGGCGAAGCAACTCGCCGCTGGACCTCAAACCGGTAACGCTGCCCAACGACCTGCTGCTGCAAATCAAGGATGAGCCTTTGGATGGCGGCCTGGATTCCAGCTCGAGTCTTGACCAGGACGGACCGCCGCCCAGCAAGCGCTTCGCCTTGCCGCCCATGTCCACAATGCCGCACATGTCCACGCTGATGACGCCGACGGGCGCCTCCACGGGCTCCCTGCAAACGCCCATGTCGGCCACGGCGCCGAGCGGATTTGGCAGCGCCTTTCCCGTGGTCACCACCACCACCAACGGCAGCATGAACAGTCCCACGCTGAACGCCCTGAACAAGGTGCCCAAGGAACGGCCCAACACGCTGGCCGTGCAGCGACCCTTCGGCAACCACATGCACCTGACGATGGCCAACAACAAGACCGGCGGTGGTCGCACCGAGATCCAGGGCGTTCCCATTCAAACGCCCTCCACCGGCGTCTTCAACTTTGATTCGCTGATGGACGGTGGCACCGGACTGACTCCCGTCTCGGGGCCGCTGGTGCCCAACAGCTCCTCGCAGAACAAGCATCCGCTGGAGCTGCCCACGCCCACCGCCGAGCCGTCAAAGCTGGTCAGCTTATAACCGGAGAGGTTACCAAGTCGAGTCAGGATTAAGTTAAGTTTTATATAACTTGTTAGGAGCCGGTTTCTGAGTGTCCGATTAAGGTGACAATAGGTTTAACTGTCAGTTAGCTGTAGAATATAAACTGTGGTTTATAAACCGTGGCTTATAAACCTAGGTTTGTACCCGTGGTTTACTAACCGTAGTCTAAATAGTGGTATTTTAACCATAGTTTAAACCTTGGTATATTTACCTTTCTGCATTAACAGTCAGTTTATCTATTCGATAAACCCTAACTGGACATAGAGGACCGGAAAGCCGAAACAATAACAAAACCAACAAAACATTTTTCTAGTTGTAGGAGATGTTTTCATTTTTGTAATTCGTAATCTGTAATTTGTAATCGTAAAAGTTTTCGTTAACTTTAATGTTTTTTGTATTATTATCTTTATTATGGTTAATTTATGATTTTGCTATGTCTTTTTACATACGCCGAGCCGAGCTATGTACATATGTTATGTACTTGTATTGTGTGCAATTTTCAAACCTTTTCATTAGCGTGTTATATATTTTTTCCAAAAGAATATAGAGATGCGGATTGATCGTCGACGATGCATGATTGATGCCAGCGGCATTGGTCAGGGATTGCGAATGATAAGGATTCTAGGGAGTGTAGATTTGGAAGGATGATGCGTTGTGATATTTATTATAAAACGAATACAAAAGATAACAGATAAACGAAAGTAGAAAAAGCTAAACAGGATGATGAGATGAGAGCGCGGAGGAGCGTAATGAAAGGAACTAAGCCGGTTTTAAAATTGTACATTTAAACAAATCGCGTAAATATATATATGTATATTCAAAATACAAACTAAATACAATGCCTTGAGAGAGAATTAAGAAATGCAAACACTTTATATATATATATAAAAAAAGTATATGTTTAAACCTAAAAATTAATCGCGTTGAAGCAGAGTTTTATATTGAGCGAAAGCAAAAGCAAATGTGAAATGAGATAAATATACTTATTGTACTCTGTAAGCTGCAGTAGAAAACCCAAATATATTTTTACTAAACGCAACGAATGCGCTATTTTCAAATACCATTTATAAGAAATGACAAAACGCAAAGCAATTATTTAATATGTAATTATGTATTATGCAAAAACAGTGAACTCTAGCCATTTTCCACAGTAAATTCTCAATATTTGTCAAAAATCGAAACCGGCAGAAACTAAATGCACTTAAAAGGGCAGAGAAAAAAAACACCAAAATTGACATGAATGAAATAAAATCAAATCAAATAAAATAAAATCAAATAAAAATACCGAAAAACCTAAAAACAAAAAGATGTTGAATTATTTTTGAACTGTTAAAAAGGAAAGACAGCAATTCGCATGACTTGCAAATGGTCTGGCTTAACGTCAGGTAAACTGAGCAGGTAAATTAGGGTGGACCGCAGCTATGATGCTACACCCAAGGGTGTAACGATTGCAGATAAAAAACCTGTTTAGTTCATTGATTAAAAATAAAAACAAAGGGGAAACAAGGGAAGCTAACTTTGGGAAGCCGAAGAAGATTATTAATTGGATCATGGGAATATATAAATATATTCATACAATTTTTCGACAAATCAAAACTTACCAAATCTATAAGTAAGCCAAAAATGTATTTTAATTCTGCAAGCTGTTATGACTTAGTTTTTTTAAGGTTTATAATATCTATATTGAATTTACAATTTTAGGAAATTAAAATTTTAGTTCAATTTTGAAAAACTGACTTATCAAATGACGTGGCTAAAACGATTCGCCTGTTGATGCAGATCCAGAATATTTATAATTTATAGGGTCGGAAAAGAATCCTTTACTGCGTTAGTACCTTCTGACTGAGATTATAAGGCGGATTAAATTAACCAACTAAATTCTACAGTATCTTATATTATTATATTATTATATTATTATATTATATAAATTTATAGTCAGTTTATCAACCTAATTAAGCTTAAATAATCTTCAATTTAAGACTCAGCAATATCAGGAAAATCCTAAGCCTTAGCCTGCTGTTGAGGCCCAGCCTAAAGGGCAGGTAAACAAGGCAGAATTCTTCCGTTCCGCCTCAGATAATGGTTACATACATATATGTATACGGAAAATGCATATATTCATTTTCGGGTTTGCCTTATTTTGCATTATTCGAAATCTGCCCGGAGCTCAGCTCTTTGTTTCAGTTACACGAGAACAGGCGATATGAGCGGCAGTCAGTTACTACGGGCTCTGGGCCGAAGCCTGGGACTGGGCCGAAGCCAGCTGAAGGTCGATAGCCGGCATGTGGTGCTCATCACGGGCTGTGACTCGGGATTGGGGTAAGATATCTGAGCTGAAAATCAGTTCCAGAGACTAAATGTTCAATCTCTGTTTCGGGATAGCCACTCCCTGGCCGTATATTGCCACGATTCGCTCCAGATGACAGTGGTCTCCTGCTGTCACAATTTGAAATCGGAAGGCGCCAGGCTGCTGCAGGCTCTGAATCCCTCTAAAGATGGACCCAATAGGATGTACACCCTGGAATTGGATCTACTGGAACCGGACTCCATCCGTCTGGTTCACGGGCAGCTCAGGAAGATACTCGCCCAGGATCCCGGCTATCAGTTGAATGCTTTAGTCAACAATGCGGGAGTGATGTGCTTCGGAGAGTTCGAGTGGCAATTGCCGGAGCAGATCGAGACGCAGATCAATTGTAATCTGCTGGGCACCATGAGGTTAACCCGCGAGCTGCTCCCGCTGCTCCGCCAGCAGCAGGGTAGGATTATCAATGTGACCAGCCACTGTGGCTTGCAGGCTTTGCCCGCTCTAGGACCCTATGCCGCCTCCAAGGCTGCCCTGCGCTTCTGGTCGGATTCGCTACGCGTGGAGCTGCAGCAATACGACATGGAGGTGGTCAACTTCATACCGGGATCTTTCGTTATGGACAGCAATATCGCGGCCAGGCAACAGCAGCATGCCCAGAAGATGCACGAGGCCTTTACTCAAGAGCAGCATGCTCTTTATGACACGTACTTCGAGGCCTTCAACAGTTACCTCAAGGTCCTGACCGGTTTCAAGCCCCCCAATCGGCTTAGGAACGAGGCTCTGCTGGCCAAGTTCCGAGATGCCTTGACCAGCTCTCAGCCCCTGGCTTTGTACATCGAGGAACCTTGGAGATATCGCCTCTACCGCTGGCTCTTCGCCATCTGTCCCACTCCACTGGTGGACTGGCTGACCCTGCGCTTCTGCGCGATGCCCACCTACGAGTCCACAAAACAGGCAACAGGGGATTTGGTTGATTCTTAGTCTAAACTTTTAAACATTTACTTTCACAGTTACAATTACAATTACATTTTAGTTTACAATTGTAGCACGGGGGAATACTTGGCTAGGGCTGTGGCTGTGGCGAGTCCGGGGAATGGATCACAGAACGCAACTGGTATGCTCATGGTGGTGGCTAGTAGCCGGTGCTGCGACAGCGCTCGAATACCGCATCGTTGAGCAGCTGGAACCACTCGCTGGCGTAGGTCGAGTCCTCCGCCGCCCGAAACAGTTGCTTCTTCTCCACCACTGGCAGTGAGGAGCAAAGATAGTAGCTAATGGCCGTCTCCGTCAGCTCGGCATGGTAGTTTTTCAGCGCCCATTCGAGCAGTCGTAGGCAGTTGTGAGAGTCCAGAAACTGGATGAGCCGCTGCTGTAGCACGGCCTCCATCTCGGGTATTATGTACACCCGTGACATCTCGTAGGCCTGCAGCAAGGCGGGGTAGTTGGGCTCGGTGGGGTGACGCTCCTGGCAGACAATTAAATGCAAAAAGTACCGCAGGCCTTCAGCCGAGTAGTCTCTTAGCTGGATCTCGCCTTCGTGGCCTTCGCGGAAGCTGCTGTTAAGCATCTTGTTGAAGACCTCGCTGGCGTCGCACAGCAGCTGCTTGTTGAAGCCAATGGTCAAGGTGGTGTCGCCGTCACCCCCACCGTTCACCAGGAATCTCATGTCACAGTTGTCATGCAGCGGCTTGGTTTCACTTATTTGCTGGGTACAAATCTCAGCCGTGCTCTCCACGGGCTCGGCTTCTGGCAGGACTATGCCCAGGGTGAAGCGCGCCATTGAGGTGACGGCATCTGCTGCCTCATCCGCATACTGATCCTCGCTTTTCAGGCGCAGCAGCAGATCAAAGAGCAATGTGAGAGCATTTCCATCGTACAGGAATTGGTAGAGCAGCCGATGGCTCTTGATGATGTAGGCCACCGAGATGGCAGCTCGCTGTTGGGCCTTCACATCGTCGCACCGTAGGAGTCGCACCAGCTCCTCCTTGCCATAGTTGGACTCGCCTACATTGGTGAGGGTCTCTAGAAAAGCAAAGCCATCCTTGCGCATCTAGAAAGGATATAAAAATTAAATACAAATACAAATTAAATAATTAATATAATCAGGCTTACTTCCTCCACCTTGGTTAGCTGATACAGCTGATGGACGACGCCATGCTTGATGATCTGAGCAAAGAACTGGCTCTCCCTAAAAACATAAAAATAAATAATTAAAATCATTTAAAACCTTTACTTTCCCACTTGAACTCACAGTAGTATGTTGGTCAGGGCATTAGCAAAGTTATTGTTGGCCCCAAACAAGTTAATGGCTCGGATAAGCGTGTCCAGCGTCTCTGGCTTTCCCAACTCTACCCGTTTGTTCACCATCAGCGTTATCCTATAAATCAAATTCTCTATAATGTCAATGGTGTCGCCTGCCTGGTTGCGGAACTGGGCCAGCTTGGGCGGCACATCCGAGCTGAGCTCCTCGATATCCTCCTTGTCCGACAGCGTGTCATCGATGGACTCGCTGCCCTCATCGATTAGCTTCAATATATCCAGAACATTCGAGGCCTGGGCCCTGTTATTGGCTATGCGCCTGTCCTTTGTGTCCCCATTATTCCCGCTGTCGTCGTCTTCGTCGTCGTCGTCACTGCAAGCCGGTGAATAGTTGTCATCGTCGTCATTGGTCAAGAGATCCTTGCAGACCGGAGACATGCTGCGCGAACTACAGGGACTGGTGGTGCGATACGACCTGGGCGAACTGCTTGGCGAGTCAAAGTCCGAGCTGATGGGGTCGTGAGTCTTTGAGAACTATTGTACGGGAAAGAATTTTATTCAAGTTCTTTGATTGGTAAATATATGAAGGATTACCTTGCTTAGGGTCTCTGGCGTTGATGGATCAGTCAGTTTACGTTTCTTGCCACCTTGAAGTCGCTCCTCCCGGCGACGTTTGTGATGCTCGTCGTCGCTGGTCAGATAATCGTTCAGCTCCCTGACTAGCATGGGCACCAGACCCTCACAAAGCAAGAGTTCCATGCTCAAGTTGTCATATTGAAAGTTGTTGAGAATGTGAAAAAGCTGTGATTGGTTAAAAGAGGAACTAGTTAATGAAATTATAACTTTGAAAGTCGAAGTTTTAGTATAGTTTATAAAATTTATATGTATACCTAAGCCGAAAATGTATCAATTTGTAATGATTATGGGGTCGGAAATGACTTTATTACAGACTAAATTCAAAGTTAAGTTCATACTTACCGATGAACGCTCGCTCTGCGAATTCGAGTCCCGTATCATGGCCACCAGCTTGCGCAGAGCTCCGCATCGCCGGATCTTTGAGCGACTGCAGGCATCCGTGGAGAGCGTTGATATGATATTTATGCAGTGCCGGCACTCGCTCTCATTCAGCGGCTTTGCCATATTGACAGCCATTAGCATCTCGCAGGCAGCCACAATGGCATCCGCAGTGCTTAGCATGTAGAAGGCGCACGGATCCTTGCAGAAGTTCGACAAGATCTTCAAGGCCGAGGCCCGCTGTTCGCCATCCTCCTTGACGAAGCACACAATTGAGGCCAGCGACGAGTTCCTTGAAATGGACTTATAAAAAAAAAGGGTTTTAATACTATTTGAGTAGATAAATTGTGTTGACAACTCACCTCCCAGGCTTTCATTCCAATCTGCTGGGCTGAGATCAGGACGAGACACTTCAAAATCTCCAGGGCCAGCTCGACGGCTTCCTCATTCTGTTTGGGCAGCGCGTAGTCGCAGTTCCGCGTAAAGTTCTTGAGCATCTGGTAGTCGAAGATGTCACTCCGCACTCCCTCCAGATTGCGGGCCACCTCCTCAAAGTATTTCTCGCGGTGCTGGTTCCGCTTTAGGCCAATTAGCGTGGATACCTCTATGTCTGGCAGCGATTCCTTGGGCGTCTCGTTGTTCTTCATCACGGCCACGAAGATATTCATTAATTGCAGGAAGCCGTTGGACACGAGAAAGTGCTTGAGGAATTGACTGCTAACTAGGAGGAAACGGCACACACGGAAGGCCATGATGCGGGTCTGGACAGCGCTGGTGGACTCGATGATGTGACAGATGGCTGGAGCAATAGCAGCATAGTGAGCATTGAGATATTGGGCCGCCTTCTTGCTCTTGGCCAGATTCCCGAGCATCCGGCAGGCGCGGCATTGGATCACGGGATTGGGTATGGTCTTGAGGATTGTCACCAGCGGGGAGATCACCTTGCATTCGACAGCCTATAAGTGTGATAATGAAGAAATATATTTGCTTTATTTAATATATCTTTAGCAACTTTTAATAGTATTAAATAAAACCGAAAACCCACCTCAATGCAGGCCTGCTCGTCCGTACAGCAGTTGCCCAATATGCTGAGAACCACCTCCATTATCTTCTCGTTCAGCTTGGTTATCAGGCGAACCTGGAAAAGGCATTATTTTATCACAATAATCATTCGATTTCAAACTCCAGCGTAAATTGCGCTCTCAAGTTGTCCAGCTGTCAGTGGCTCTAAAACTTCGTCTATGGCTGCCAAACTTACCATGATAGGAACGCCACCCGCAGTACGGAACAAGACAATCCCATTCTTGTCCTTTACCAGGTCCGTGCGCAGCTTAACCAGGCATTTATATATCACCGTTCGATCCGTGGAGGTCCTGAGGACTTCCAGCATGCCCCCAACGCGAGCTTCGTCCATTTTTTTCTCTGTTTTTTCTCCAACTATTCTTTCCAGTTCCTTTAAAACTGTTATAGTGTGCCCAGCTGCTGTGGAGGCGCTTTTTCTGAAGAACTTTTAGCATTGTAAAAGGAAAGGACTACGGTCTCACTGTGCGGAAAAACAACCAAACAAAAGATTTGAAAAATAATTAGCAGCTGCATTAGCTCAGTAGTTTTCTTTGTTGCAAGTTCAGCGCGCACTTTCTTCTGCTCTCAGAACAATTATCTCGAATCGTGCGCTTCGATTACAAACGGAGTTTTTGAAAACCAGTTTTTGCAGCGTCTTTTTGTGACTCATCAGTTTCCGCAGGCTCGCAAGGAAGGAATTTCGCCATGGCCGCCAGCAACAACAGCGAGTCCGCCGATCAGGTTGGCATACGTGTGGATAATGCAGAGAATCAGGACGACCACACCGATGCCCTGGGCTCCTCGGGAGGCAGTGCAGGTGTAGCCACCGCATCCTCGCACAATCCGTATGGAACAGGAGCCATCGGGCAGCTGGCCAATGGCTACAGCTCACCCTCGATGAGCTACAGGAAGAATGTGGCAAAGATGGTCACAGATCGGCATGCTGCCGAGTACAATATGCGACACAAGAACCGCGGCATGGCTTTGATCTTCAATCACGAGCACTTCGAGGTGCCCACCTTGAAGTCGCGGGCTGGAACCAACGTGGACTGCGAGAACCTGACGCGCGTGCTCAAGCAGCTGGACTTCGAGGTCACTGTGTACAAGGACTGTCGGTACAAGGACATACTGCGCACCATTGAGTACGCAGCTTCGCAGAATCACAGTGACAGCGACTGCATCCTGGTGGCCATTCTATCACACGGTGAGATGGGCTACATCTATGCCAAGGACACACAGTACAAGCTAGAGAATATCTGGAGCTTCTTCACCGCCAACCACTGCCCCACTCTGGCCGGCAAGCCCAAGCTGTTCTTTATCCAGGCCTGCCAGGGAGATCGTTTGGACGGCGGAGTGACCATGCAACGCAGCCACACCGAAACCGATGGCGACTCCTCAATGAGCTACAAGATACCCGTGCACGCGGACTTTCTCATCGCCTACTCCACGGTTCCTGGATTCTATTCGTGGCGGAACACCACCCGCGGCAGCTGGTTCATGCAGAGTCTGTGCGCCGAGTTGGCAGCGAATGGCAAGCGCCTTGACATCCTTACCCTGCTGACCTTCGTGTGCCAGCGTGTGGCCGTCGACTTTGAGTCCTGCACCCCCGACACCCCAGAGATGCATCAGCAGAAGCAGATCCCTTGCATAACCACCATGCTGACGCGCATTCTGCACTTCACCGACAAGCAGCTAGTACCGGCGGGACGGGTTTGATAGCTACTGGACTGGATGGTGAGCTGGCTGCGGAGAGGTGTGTGATAAGCGGAGGAAAGCCAAGTCGCAATTTAGATACAACTACCAAACGTAACTACGCTGGTTATCGGCGCTAATGGCGCATATTTTTATAAAACCCCCATTTTTTCCCTTGGCCAGGAATGAGAGCCATTGACCATTAAGTTTATTTAAGCACAATGTATCTTTTAATTGGCATTTATTGCTTGCCGTTCGCCTGTATGTCTCTATTGGGGCGTGGTTTCCTTTATGTAAACAAGAAATCTCAGGGGCGAAAGCAGTACCTTGCAGGAATTCCCTGATATTTTGGCTTAAAAACTGCCATTTACATATACTTAAATTATAATATATTTTATATTTATATTTATTATTTATAAATATAAATATAAAATATATTATAATCATAATACATTTTATATTTATACTTGGGCATTTATATTTAATGTTTTTATTATTATGCATGCGATCTCGAGTTTCAAAATTATTATTTTAAACAAATCTAAGCCAAAATTGCCTGGCAGCTCATATAAAACATTCGCCCCTGCTAATTCTTGATCAGGAATATGGGAACCACCTCGTATATACATTTCTACGATAGCCGGACATCCCCTCTTTCACAAATTTTATACGCATAAATATATATAGGTGTATATTATTAAGCATCTGTGTCATGATCGCGTCCAAAACCAACATACAAACAATTTTAGCCTGTACTCGAAAGTTTTATGAACAACATATACTATCTCTTTATACGATTTGTACTCTTATATAATATACACATTAGCAAATGTTTTCATTTCAAGTTTTTCCGCTAATAAAAACGATCGAAAACAATGGGAAAATCAATGAGCAATGACCATTTAGGAGCTTTGACCTAGGCGCAATAGCTTTTTGGTCCCTCAAGTTGAGCGACATCGCCGGAAAAGGCATCATCATCATCAACAGCATCATCGTCGGGAGAGAAAGAGTAAAACGAGGGTCATACGATTTCAGAGCTTACAATCACTTTATTCTTAGGAGCTGCGACACAAAACAAAACTAAATTCCAATTCAGAGTTCGCCTAAAGCACGCGGGGATGTGGGTAGAAACTTTTGAGCCTGTCAGCGGATCCGACGCGGAGGCTGGGATATATAAATGCACGTTTCTGATATATAAGTTTCAACTAATTAAAAAAACGTAGAATCTTCGCTCACAATATTTGGTTAGTTGCCTAGATGTGACCGCCCTCCTTCAGCTTGGCCACCAGGGCATCCACATCGGCCACGGTGGCGCCGGCCTGGCGCACTGGTGGATCCTCCACGGAAACGACCTCGATGCGTGGCGAGGTGTCCACTCCCAGATCCTTGGCCGTGACCTTCTTCAGTGGCTTCTTCTTGGCCTTCATGATGTTGGGGAGCGTGGCATAACGCGGCGTGTTCAGGCGCAGATCGGCGCTCAACACGGCCGGTGTCTTTGTCTTGATGGTCTCCAGACCGCCGTCAATCTCACGTGTGATAGTCAGACCGGCATCCGTCTTCTCGATCTTGTTGCAGAAGGTGCCCTGCGGCCAGTCGAGCACGGCAGCGGTCATCTGGGCCGTCTGGTTGGCATCGTCATCGATGGCCTGCTTGCCCAGGATCACCAAATCGGCCTTCTCGTCCAGCGCCAGTTTGGCCAGAATCTTGGACACGTGGATGGGCTGCAGCAGCTCGTATTCGGCGGCTGGTATCTCCACATGTACGCCGCGATCGGCGCCCATGGCCAGGGCGGTGCGGATCACCTCCTGCGACTGAGTAGGACCCACAGACACAGCGATGACCTCCGTGGCCAGCTTCTTCTCCTTCAGCTTGACGGCCTCCTCAACGGCGATCTCGTCGAAGGGGTTCATCGAGTGCTTTACGCCCTGGGTGACCACGCCGGTCTTGTCTGGCTTGACGCGCACCTGGACATAGGATGGAATGGGAAAATTACTTGAATTATCAATTAATTAAAGCGATTACGCAAAACAGAGGGCGCAACAAGTGATAAAAAAGAAAGATGTTTGGTGCGCAACAGGCGATTTCTGGGCTCACCTTGACGGCATAGTCGATCACACGCTTAACTCCAACCAGAACACGCGCCATTTTCTGCAAAATATTATGTTTTTTAATGAATTTTTAAGGCAATTTATGATTTTTTTTTGTTAATTTAGCGGACTTACCTCTTCAAGATGGAAATGAACTGATTGGTACGGTTCGGGAGGGGGCGCGGGTGGTCCAAAGGTCTTGTGTGCTTTCGGCGTTGCCAGACTGTCAGCCGATGAATTTATTCACCGTTACAAAATATATTAAAGACGTTAACTAATTGTAAAAATAATAAAATAAATGATGAAAAAAAAGTTTTTTCAAGTAGGAGATTTATTTCTATAATTAAAAATTATTATTTTTAATTTAATATATAAGTTGTGTATTAAGCGATTAATATCGGACAGCTGTACCATCACCAAATACGTACGAATTCCCGGTTTTTCTCTCCTCTCCAAATGTCATCAGCTGTTTATACTTTCACCACTTTCCTCCTGGCCGCTCCAACATCCCATTCCAAATTCCTCTAAAGATTACCTTCCTCTGCTAAAAAAAATGGCCACCACAGCTCCGGTGATCATGCGCCTTATGGCCTCCTCCATAAACACAGCCAAGCGCGCCGGCGGAATCATTCGAGATGTGCTCAAGAAAGGCGATCTTGGTATCGTGGACAAGGGCAAGAACGATCCACAGACGGAGGCGGACCGCTCTGCCCAGCGCTGCATCATAGCCTCGCTGACCAACAAGTTTCCCAAAGTGAAGATCATTGGCGAGGAAGGTGGCTCCGATTTAAACGTTTGCGACGATTGGCTGGTCACGGAGCTGGATGAATCGTTCCTGCAGCAAAGCTGCCCGGCAGAGTGGCAGGATGCCCGGCCCGAGGACTTTGTGGTATGGGTGGATCCGTTGGACGGAACAGCAGAGTACACACAGGGTGGGTATTCCAAGTGGAATTCCTTGGAAATTAATATCTAGTAATCCTTTCCTGCAGGATTTGTGGAGCACGTCACTGTACTGATTGGCATAGCTGTCAAGGACGCAGCCGTGGGCGGCATCATCCACCAGCCCTTCTACCAGCAGCCCGACGGCGAGCTGGGTCGCACAATTTGGGGCCTCAAGGGTCTCGGAACGGGTGGATTCACCGCAGTGCCAGCTCCAGCCGGTCAGTTCATCATTACCACAACTCGCTCGCATTCCAATGCCCTGCACCAGCAGGCTCTCAATGCCTACGCATCCACTGAGGTTTTAAAGGTGGGCGGCGCTGGCTTCAAGGTGCTACAGTTGCTGGAGGGGAAGGCACATGCCTATGTGTTTGCCACACCGGGCTGCAAGAAGTGGGATACCTGTGCACCCGAGGCAGTGCTCGAAGCGCAGGGCGGTTGCCTAACCAACATCAATGGCGAGCACTACGCGTACAATGCTGATGTGGAGCATGTGAATCGAAAAGGAGTGCTGGCCAGCCTGGGACAGAATCATTCCGATCTGGTGGAGAAGATACCCGCAGAAGTGCGAGCGGCAGTTGGAGCCAAGTGAAAGCAAAGGCTGTGAGTGTGTGGGCACTTTATTTTATTCTTAATTTTGAACTAAAAGTAAAAACATACATAAATTAAGCGATAACGAAGGGATACAAAATCAAGATCGTAAAAATTACAAGTTGAAACTTTGAAAAAAGCTTAAGGTAGAGTTATTTTATTATTGTTTTTCGAAACTGCCGCTCTGGCTATTGTTGATGCTGTTGCTGGTGTTGACCGCCGACGAGTTGTTCAAGTAGCGGTTTCGCTTCGCCTTGGCCATCTTGCAGGAGTTGACGGAAGCGGCGAAGCGCAGCGACTTGACAGACTCTTGGAAGCAGTCCTGGAACGGTGAGACATTGATGAACATAAGGGTCTTCGAGTTGCCGCCCAGCGAGGGCATCAGGAGATGCGTCAGCTTGGAATTCCGATAGGGAATGTGATCCTGCTTTTGGAGCAGCGCCAGAATCACGTTGGTCAGCTCGGAGAGCGAACGATTGATATTCTTGGTCTCGGTCATCCGTGTACTGGTCTTGGGTGATTCCGAGCCGGCCAAGTCCACCAGATTGATAGATCCAACCGACATCTCCTGCTTATCGGCATGTCTGCCAATCAATGCCAGCTTTGTGACTGCATGAGAGCGGGAGGACCGCTCGTTGCCAGCCGTGGAGGCGGTGGCTCGGTTCATCTTGGCCGTGTGCATTAGTTGTCGCAAATGATTGGGATCTACGACAGTCTCCTCCGTGATATTCGACACATAGATATCGTTCTTGTTGTTCTTGGCCATTCGTATCTCCATGTCCTTCTGCTCGTTGCTCAACAGATCGTAGAGCACCTCGTTGTATATCTCCAGGAAGGTGGCCTTGATCTCATACTCCCATCCCAAATTGCGATAGCCCCGGATGGAGTCAAAGAGCAGATCGACGGTGCGCGGAATGACGCCTACGCTATCCTCCACTCCGTCCATCGTGTACGTCTTGCCGCTGCCCGTTTGGCCATACGCGAAGATGCATATGTTGTAGCCATCGAGTGCAGATTGGATGAGCGGTGATACCATCTCGAAAATGTCCGTTTGCGAGGATTTAGGATGAAAGACCTGGTCGAACGAGAATATCTGCTGGCCCATCTTGTTCTTTGCCTGGGCATCGATGCTCTGCAGCTCAACAGTGGCCTCATCATGGTAGGTCCAGGTGCAGCACATCCTGTTCTCCTCACAGTCCAAAGGCGGTCGAATTCGGCAAAAGACGCGAATATTTCCACGCAGATCCATGACCGTGTTGTGCAGCTCCTTGCGCTCCATATTCGATGCGAAGAGCTGCTCCTTGCAGGTCTCCAGTTCGGCGGCCTGCTGGTCATTGCTGCGCTGGAGTTCGTCAGTGAGCTGCCGTAGATGCACCACCTCCTTGCTAAGAGCAGTGTGCTCAGCTTTGATTTTCTGTTAAAGAAAGGCGTCTTTTAATTGTATTTATTAGAATTAAGAGATCCCAGGCTCACCTCATGTATGGCCTGCAGTTCGGAAAGCTCCTCCTTGGTCCTTCCCAGTGTTGTGGTTATGGTCTCAATATTCTTCGTATGCTGCTTCACCTGCCTCTGGAGACACTCGTTATCCGTCTGTGCGTTCTTCAGCGCGGACTCGGTCTCAATTAGCTTGGTTTGCGTTTCCTCCAGTTGCGTGGGCAATGATTCCAGCTCGCCCATGTCCTCTATTTGCTTCTCGTATTTGGTTTTGAGGACCTTGTGCTTGTCGAGGAGATCGTGGAAGCGAGCCTTGAAGTCGTACGGTGCTATGCGTTTGGGAGCAGCACCAGCTCCTCCCCCGGCTCCACTGGTTTTTGCTGCTCCAGCGCCTGCTCCTGCAGCTTTCGGTTTGGTTTTGGCAGCGGTTGAAGCAGCGACTGGTCTAGCAGCAGCACTAGGAGCAGGCCTTGTCGGAGCTGGTCGCTTGGCAGCTGTCACAGCGGTGCCGGATCCAGCCGCCGGACGTCCTAATCGCTGACTGGGTGCGGTAATAGGACCGCTGGCCAGACGTGAGACTTTGCTGGGTATGCTGGGCAGTGTGGGCGGTAGGGCTGCGCGCTTCATATTCTGCCGCATTTCGTTGATGTCACAAGCGGATCGACTGCGTCGCAGCTTGGCTCGATTGTTCATTTTGGCGGGTTCCGGTGAGGCAGCTCGAGCTAGGCAAGGCATAAGGATTAGGTGGGGAAAATACTATGTAAACCCTTTTTGGACGCACCTCCTCGTTGCTGCAGCACTTGGGGCAAATTGTTCAGGTCGCGGGTCAGCGGCGGCAGCAAGTTCCCGCAGTAGGTCTGGTTGGCACTGGGGCCGCTAGCTGCTCCCGGTCCTCCTCCTCCAGCTCGAATGCGATCCGTGGGCAGCACCGTTCTTACTGGTGGCAGGACTGGCCGCTTTGCTGTCAACGTTGGCTTTGGCAAACGGGATTCCATGACGTAAAGTGGTCGTGTTCCGTAGATCTTAGATCACTCCTGCGTCTTTAATTGGATGTTTGGATTTTGATATTCACAAGCGACGCCGATGCCAATTCGCGCCGTTATTTTCGACTGCAGGGTTGCTTTGGAAATGTGGGACCAGACTTGTGGCCGATTTCTGTAGTGCTGCCACCTTTTCCGTTTCCAGATCGTGCAAAATATTGCGTGACTGCTCACGCCAATCAGATGTTTTCAGTGCCCTGGACATCGGGCACGATTTTTTACGTTGATTTGTGTTTTCCGCAGGTTTTTCGCGAGTGAATAACGCACAAATGGTGCAATCAATTAGTGACCCTTCCGTATGAATTGTGTTTTTCTGAGATAACTGCTGGGAAAGAGCCCAACAGCTTGGAAAGTGCAGGATTGTGCGCAGCACGCGAGGCGTTGCCGGACAGTCGCAGATATTCGGATTGGTGCTTTTCTTTGTGATTCCAAGAGTTTTCTCCAGTTTTATGTGATGTAAAATTAGCCTGCGCTTTCTCCTAATATTGGTTTTCCTCTGGAAACTGCGGAAAACTCGGTTAAGTCGGAAATCTATCGCGTGACAAAGTGGTTACCAGACCAACGGCAGGCCGCACGAGTCCATCTCTAGTTTGTTTTCATTCGGGATTTGGGAAAAAAGCTCTTGCAACAGAGATTGATTTCGTAAATTAAATCTGGACAGCGTGCGCTCCCAAGACCGCAAATCTTGACGAGATGGCGGGGCACGCGGAGCTCAAGGAGCTGGGCATGTTTGAGCTGCGGCCCCTGATCACCAATCTCAGCTGCAAGCTTTCAGCGGTGACGGCGGGCCTGGATGAGAAGCAGTTCCTGTGCCTGGTGAGCGAGGAAAACGAGATCCTGCTGCGGTATATTAGCGCATCCGGCCAGGAAGTGGTTAAAATGATTTCCTGGTTCCGCAACCGAGTCATTCACGATGTCTGCTTCGACCCAGCGGGCATCTGGCTGCTGGTGCTATGTAAGTGGGTGGCTGGGCGAATTTCTGGGGGTGGCGGTGGCTATGGGGGCGGTAGTGCGGTTGCGGGTGGCGAAGCCTAAAATTACTCTGCGCCGGTGTGTGTGTGCGTGTGTGGCTATTGATTTTCTGTTGCGTACTTTGTTTTGATTCAACGGGGTCCACCGCCCCATCCCGGTCCGATCGATTCGCGAATTCGAGTGTTACTGAACCCTGAGCTACATACATATGTATCCGTTCCATCAACAGGTTTCGACAACACCCTGCATATCGTGCCCGCTTTGGCGCTGGTGGACAAAACGCACGTCCTGGCCGCCTGCTCTCTGTACAGTACAAGCCAGGTGACGTCCTACATCATCCCCTTTGTGGGTCCTCACGAATGCCCCAACTCGAAAAAGTGTCCCAATCACTCATCGGGTCTTGACGATCCAATAGTTCCCGAGCCGGTAGAGCAACTAGCCGGCAATTTGGAAACTCTCAGACTGGAGGCAGAGGAACCCCTGGGCCACGACCTGCCCGAGCACATGCTGGTGCGGAACAGTGATCAGGCGGACGCTTCTGCGAGTCAGCAGCCGCCACAAGAGCAACAGCCACCGCTCGTACAGCCTTTCGATGGCACCGGCAACAGCCAGGTGATGGCCACCTCCTTCATGGCGTCCAAGACTTGCCCCTATCCACTGTCCGTGGTCTGGTGGAAGACGAACACCGGCCTGAATCGGGCCATTATTGGCTACTCGGACGGTTCCATTTGCTTCGTGGGCCTGAGTCCCAACTGCCCAATGATAGCAAGCACCGCCATCGAAAACGGATCTGTGATGCGTCTCGTTATCTGCAAGGATAAGGCCTACGACGGCGTCATGCTGCTGGTGAGGATTAAACCTTGATTGTTAAATTCTTTTTATGTAATTTAAGCTCTCTTCCAGATCACTTCTTCGCTGAAGCAGCAGTACAAGCTCCTGTTGGAGCAAAAGGCTATTATGTACGTGTACCCCGGAGATAGCTCACCCACGACACGCGAGGGGGCCTGGCAGATAGTGATGTCTGTGCAAAACAAACAGCAGAGCACTGCCACTGGTCCCAGGATAAGCAATAGCTCGGATCCAGCCTCGGACAGCAGCCAGCTTGAAGAGGATGTCTTTGTGCCGCCGACCACTGAAGACGCAGCTTCAGACGTGGCTGCCGAAACTGGAGCAGCTGCTGAGGGGCCACCACCACCACCCCCACCGGCGCCACCGTCGTACAGCGAGGCAGTAGCCCGGCAATCTGGAGAGCAGCAGGGAGGCGTGCGCTTCCAGCAGCAACAACTGCCAGTGGGCGGCACCAACGATGGCATTCTGCCGGCCACGAGAGCCCGCCTAGCCTCGCTCAAGAGTCTGGGATCCAAGAAGCTGCAGGCCATCAAGATGCGGCTCTCGGACCAGCGGCAAAAGTTCGATGAATGTGCGTAAGCTAAGAGGATAATTCTTTCGATTTTGTTGTTAAATTCATTTAATTCTGAGGCATTATTACCTCTCTCTAAACATATATTTTCTTTCCTCAATTCCGTTTACCTTTGTTAATTTTAGTCCGCTATTTTATTGTGTATTTTATATTTATTTATTGGTGTGCAGTTTTGAGAGAACTGTTGCATCTATTGAAGCGTCACTGGCGTGGTGAGTTTGCACAACTCTCGCACTCGACAGACTCAATTAGAACCTGGAACAAGGCCACGAGATTGAAAGCCCACAACTAAGTATTTCAAACTTTCCCACTTTCTTCTAGTTATGCCCGACTCTGGGGGCTCCTTTGCTATCATGGACTCGCCCTCGGTCACGCCAGAGCCGCTGGGCACCACCACCGGATCCTTTTACACCATCCAAAATCTCCGCAGCACCTTTCTGCTGAGCGCCCTGCACAGCAACAGCCACAGTTTGACCGTGCACAGCATCGACATCAGTCTGAAGCCACTGTTCGTGTACAAGATACCCAAGCACACCCAGGAAATACTCATTAGCTCCAACATACTCTATGGCATACACTACGTGGACCTTCACAGTCGCAGCGACTCGGCCATTTCTACAGCGGCCTCGTCGCTGGCGGAGCCGCTGGTGGCCAACACGGACAAGGAGAATCGGGATGCGGACACAGAGAAGCTGGATCAGGCGGAGGCGCCAGAGGTTAGTGGCCAGAAGAGCGACACAACCAGTGCAACGACCACGGCCACCTCAAGTCTGGACCAGAGCGAAATGCCCAGTAATGCGATCAATGCCGTCAGCGTCATAAGCAGTGCCATGGCCTCGCTGCACACCTCCGACGAAGATGTGAGTAACCAGGCTTTTGCAGGATATTTATAAACACCTCTAACTCTAACTTTATCCCGACAGCGCTTCAATAATCTGGCCCAGATAGGGCTCTTTCGGTTCGAAAACGAAACCGTGCTGCATCTGTATCAGATGGCACAATATCGCAGTTCCGCCGGCCACCCAGAGGCCCTGACAAAAGAGGAGAAGGCCAAGGCTTTCGAAATCAAGGATATCCACACTCCTATGGACTACATCCAGTTTTACGAGACCGCCGACGTGAGTAGCGAGTTTTCGCTGCGGCAAATGGAGATAATGCAGTCCGAGTTCCCCAAGATCAACTACGATCCCAGCTATGTGATTACCAATAAAAATGTATATACCATACAGCTGAGGTAAGGCCGATAACTGCAATATTCAGCTTTGGTTTCTTAGCTAAACTGAGTTTTTTCTGCAGAAAGGAGCCCTTCGAGCTGTTTCTTGATGCCGCCCTGCAGAATGAGTTTAACCAGTGCCGCGACTTTTGCAACACCTTCGATCTCTCTTTCGAGCAGTGCATCGAGTTTGCCGGCGACTATCTGCTGAGGCGAAAGAAGATCACCCAGGCGCTGCTCACGTACAACGTGGCGCGGGTGAAACCAATACGCACAGCCCTCAAACTGGCCATGTACGGACACACCTACGCTTTAATGCAGCTGAGTGCCATGGCCTTAAAGTCCACATATCTGCTGCGATCGCGGCACTTGGGTCACCCGCTGCTCAAGGGCATACTGGAGGACATCACCTACCGGCACTCGGAGGATGTGCGTGTGATCTTGCCCGAGAAGTTGCTGCAAGAGGATGTTATCAGCGGCGCCGTCTGTAGCGATTATCACTATGGTGTGGACGAGTCAATTAGCGCTTTGCAAATGTCACCCTCTTCGCAGTTCCATTTGGCCAACCTGTTGCTCATCACAATGGCCGAGAAGGCAGTCAACGACAAGAACTACATACCGCTGTGGTGAGTATGGATTAATCAGAAATTGAGCATGGATTTCAATGTGAATTTCGATAGGAACTTCCTGGTCACCAATAGCAAATACCACACCAACATGACAAGCATTGTTCTATGCCAAAGTGGACTCTTCTCCTCTGCCATTATACTGGCCAAGGTGCGGGGCGTGTGCCTGGATACCTTCAATGCCCTGATCAGTGTGGTGGCCCAGGAGTTTGGCTGGTACAACGAGCTCAACGTGTGCCTGTATAATCTGAGCGAAAATATATTTATGGAGTCGATAACCTACCTGCCGCACGTGTCCATGGATTACTTTGCCTTCATCCAGGATAAGCTGGATCACATAAGGCCTTGTGTCTTGCAGGTGAGGATATTTGATAAATATTTTTATGATTATTTGTTTATAAATATAATTTATTTTCAGCGCCTGTCCAAGCAGCTGAATCCCTTTGCTCCTGCTCTGAGGCCCATTGTGTCCCACAATAGCGACTGCGCCATGGCCAACGATAATAACCAGCAACTGTTTGAGTTTGGCAAGAGTCTCATCGAAACCTATTTGGCCGTGCTTATCCACATGGAATCGCAGCGCGTCAAGCATGATTTAATTGTGAATGCTCTATCGCATTTCCGCATTAACTACGAAGACAATCAGGCAAGGATTTCCTCACAGAGGCTTTGCTTTTCCCAGGAGATTATATTTCTAATGTTATTTTCTTTCCTTAGTTTGCCATTGAATCGTCGCGCTTCAAACCGATCTCAGCTGGTTGTGCTTACTGTGCCTGTGTGGTTGATGGAACCGCCTACTTCTGGGGCTCCAGTGGTATTCCCACCTATTACAGCGCCCAAAAGTCAACGGGTAAGGGCTATGTTACGTTGTACAAATTTAATTCAGTTTTATAGGAAGAAAAACAAGAAAGAAAGCTAACTTTGCCCAGCCAAAGTTTGTATACCCTTGCAGGTAACAATTAAAATATATCATAACTAAGCCAAAAATGCATTAATTTCGGTTCGGAAAGCAGTTTTGTGTTAGTTTTTATTCATTTAACAAACTGCATACCAAATTTAAAATTTTAAGAAATCAAAATTTTTTTCCATTTTTGCTAATTTTAATGATGTAACCCCTTATAAAATTTTGCGAAAATGGCTAAAATATCGATTTCTTCCTGACATGTCTAGAAAGATTCCCCTGTTGATGCTGATCAAGAATATATATACTTTATAGGGTCGGAAACGACTCCTTCACTGCGTTGCAAACATCTGACTGAAATTATTATACCCTGCATGGGTATAAAAAAGCTAGTACTGAAGAAGGAATATATAGAATAAAAATTGGTATTATTATTTTTTTTATACTATATATTTATAATTCTTGCAGAGCCACCAGAGCCGGCACATGCTGTGAAAAGCCTGGAGCTCCTCTCCCAGCTCAATTTGCAAGTGCATGCCATCAAGTGTGGGCGACAGCATACACTTATTCTAACAAATAATGGGGTAAGTTATCTCCTCAGTCTGTTTAAAATTAAAATATTAATATAAAATATCAAAATCATCTCTTCTTCCAGCTTTACTCGGTGGGCAATAATAATCTCTGCCAGCTGGGTATCGGCCGGCATATGCAAATGGCCTTGCAGCCCATGCTGGTGACAGCCTTGGATGGCATGAATGTAACCATGCTGGAGGCGGGCCAATATCACAATGCAGCTGTGGCCGATGGCAAGCTTTATATGTGGGGGTGAGCATTCGAGCCGTATTATATTTTATGATGGCATAAACCTACCTACCTATTCTTACCTACTTTTTTCACTTTAAATTTAATTTAAACGTGGTTTAGATGGGGCGTATATGGTCAGCTGGGGCAGGGAAGTTGCGAAAACATAGCTAAACCACAACTAGTCAGTTTCTTCAAGTTTAAGGCAAGTAACAATTCTAATTTTTATAATACAAATTATAAAAATTTAATAAATTAAATCAAATTATAATGTTGCAGAAAATTTTACAAATATCGCTGGGCCATGCTCACACCCTGGTGCTGTGCGGGGCATCCAGCAGCTATATGGAGTCCAGCGGACGCAGCACAGAGCTCTTCGTTTTCGGCTCCAATCACTTTGGTCAGCTGGGCACCGGAAATAGCGACCAGGTCGTCGACACCAAGACGAATCTGCCAGTGCGCCTGGATGTGGGCGACGGCAGCCTAAGACTGATACACACCAAATTTTTTACCAATGTAAGTTTTTATTCATTTTATCTAAAAAAGTTAATATTTAAAATGTTCGAATTGATCAAACAGTTAGCTGTAGACGACCAGGAACGTCTGTATACTTGGGGAAGCTCGCCGCAAGCCTTGCGCCTGGCCAATCAAATCAAGAGACGCGCCAACGCCAAGCAGAAGCTGGAGGAGAATCATCAACGCGAGATGCTAAGCAAGCAATTGGAGGCTACTCTGCTGCCGGCTCCTTCCACTGTACCCAGCGCTACTAGCATTGCGGTGGAACCCACTACATCCTATGCGGCAGTGGTGGCTGGGGCCACCCCGAAGGCCTCCAGTGGTCCAGAGACCAAAGAGGAGCAGGGTGAGAATGAGGCTGTGCCATCAGATGCTACGGAAACCATTGGTTCGGCTTGTAAGCGAGGAGTGGAAATACTTAATCCTGTTCCGCCGCCTGCTCCGGCACCAGGACTGGCCGAACCCGATCCCACGGAGCACTTAAGTCCGCATTTGGTGGACACCAGTGAGGTGGCAGGCCAAATTCTGCAGGTTAGCAAACGATCTGAAAACGAAAATCAAAAATTAATTAATTATAATCTTGCAGATTGCTAGTGGCCTGTTCCATTTCTGTTTGATCTCGTCCAGCTGCACGCTCTACACGTGGGGCAAGAACCTGGAGCACCAACTGGGCACTGAGGACAAGGAGCGCCGTGCCGTGCTAAAGCCCTCGCCCATCGACAGCATAGAGCGGCCGATGTACGTGGACTGTGGAGCAGACTTTACGCTGGTCATGACCACCGATCATATAGTGCGCGCCTTTGGGGGTAACTCTAACGGCCAGTGTGGCCGGGATCTGGGTGCCAGTCTAGAGAGGATGCGACAGCGGGTGGTGTGCCTGCCCACAACGAAGCGGCTGATGCGTTTCGAGAGCCAGTGCGTCGAGGCGCCGGTGGAGATCAATCTGCCGAGGCCACGAATCCGACTGGATCAGGATCCAGTGAGGTATCTGAAGGTCATGCCGCCCTACCAGCCACACTTCCTGCAGCCGGCCAACATTAGCTTCGATCGGGAGTACTCCGTGGGCACTGGCAATTACAAGAGCAGCACGGAACAGCACGCGGCCACCGGGCAGGACTCGGACGATATGCTGAGCAGCCTGGAGAACCTCAGCCAGAACGATGCCAGCTACTCGTACAATGTCCCGGTACTGGGCGGCGATGCTAACAGCTCGCTGGACCTGGACTACACGCCCGAGGAGCAGAGTTATGTGCCGCTGCCGGAGCAGGGGGGAGGAGGAGGTGGAGTACCCGTCGCAGTGAAACAACAGCTGCTGGGAGAAAATGATGACGATGTTGATGCCAGCACCTTTACGCCCAGTAGCGAGGGTCTGGAGGAGGCATCAGTGCAGCAGCTGCGCCACTACATACACTACTGTCTGTACGCCTTCCACGGCCTGTATAATCCCGACAAGATTGGCGAGTGCGCCCGTCCAAATCGCAACGAGTACCGCATTCGGATCTGTATGCTCAACTTCCGGTTCGTGGAGGCCTTCCGGCTGTGCCTGCAGAACTGTGACTCCGCCCAGCGCACACTTAAGCTATTCGAGTACTTCAGCAAGGACACCGGCTATGTGCCCCTGCGGCGGTCCGACCTGAAGCACCTCATCTACCACCTGTGTCTGCATTTCCTGGAGCGCAAGTTCGATATGCTCGAGTGCGAACGTTTCTTTATGGGGGATCTGGACTACTATCTGCTGGAGCTGGCCTATGTCTTCTACTTCAACAACAATAACTCGACGTTGGAGCAGAATCTCAACCAGAAGTTCAAGCAGCTGATGGCATCGTCGGCGGACGAGCAGCAGCTGCAGGACACCGATGTCATCTTTGATAGCTTTACGGTCAAGTTCAAGACGATCCTGTGCCAGCGGCTGCTGAGCTACTCGGACGGCAGCGAGGCTGCCAATTAGCAGTGGCTCTGCCCAGGAGTTCCGTTCCCAGTTCCGGTGTCTTGAATCCTGGTCTCTTCCGTTCGATTGTCGTCATCTGTCATCTGTCTTGTGTTAAGTGTTTTGTTGTAAGCTCAGTCCGGGAACTGGGGACTCCCCTTAATGTGTCCCCACTATATACACCATAATTGTTGTTTGCGGTTATTTATATTGTACATCAAAGGCTTTTTATAGCGCTGTTATTTAAACGAAATATTTAAGACAAGCAAATTGTTTAAAGAATCCAATTTTTGTAACGCTTTGTTTGCTGCTTTTTAATTGTTTACCCAATAAACTAAAAATAAAAATAAAACGAGAATGTAATCCAAAACAGATCAAAAAGGAGGCTCTGCAGGATATACACATATTTTTTGTTTTCTTTTTCGATATTCCGCTTGTGATTTGCAATTATTTAATAAAACTAGAGTAGAATTAATATAATTATATACACATATATATGATTAACAATAAAGTACGTTTATATAAATAATCGGAGAATCCTCTAGAGCTTGAGCTTGATATTGTCCGTGGTCCAGCGCTTGCTTTGCAGCGATTTCAGGGCATTCTCGCAGTAGAACTGCTCCTCGGACCTCTCCGGCAGCGAATCCTTCAGCTGCTGCAGCTCCTGCTGCTGCTTCAGCCCGGCCATGGCATCGATCACAGCCCTGATGCACTTCACCCGCTGTGCCAGGGCCAGCTTCTCCACCGTGTTGCCCATCTTGGAGAGGAACAATTGGAGCACAGTCGAGGGAGCCTGCAGCTCGTACAGCCGGAGCACGGCTAGCGTTAGGTCGAAGCTAATGTGGAACTGCTTTGATTTAAGGGGATGCCAGCTGGGCACGCGCTCAAAGATGCACTCCAGGTCAGCATAGGCTTGGGCCTGAGCCCGCTCATTGAGCGCCGTCCACTCATACTGCGCCGGCGAGATCTGCTGGTCGGCGGCAAAGCGTTGAGGCGACACTGGCTTCAGCATATCCTGCTCCTTCCAATTGCTGTTAGCCTGGCAGCAGGCATACAGCACCTCGACGGGTGTGGCTCCATCCCGCAGCAGCTTGCCTAGGCCATTGTCCTTCTCCAAAAGCTGCTGCATCTTCAGAGCGGCATGGAACACCTGTTCGTAGAGCGGAATAATGCCTACTCCCGCCGTTGAATACGCATCAACCAAACGCTGGAGCTGTTGCTTTCTTGCGGTCACATCCGCAGCAGATAAGGCGGCCTGAAACTGCTTGAGAGCCGCCTCCTGGTGACGTCCGAATCTCTGCAGCAGATCTATATAGCTGCCCAGGTCACCGGCCTCTCTCAGGTAACTCAAATACTGCTCCAAAGCCTTGGGTCGCTCTTTGAGAATTCCATGAAATTGGACTGTATTCAGTGTTCTCTTGAGGAAGAGCAGCACCGCGATGACGGCATGGCCACCGCCTTGGGCCAGCAGGGTGTCCAGCAATTGACGCTTCTCGTGCAGGGATTTGAACATCTCCAACGGCGCCGTCTTGCCCTGCAAAAGTTTTTGGGCCGTGGCCTCCAGATTCGGACTGTACAGCGTGCTCTGAAGTTGACGGCGCAGCAGCTTCAGTTCCTCCTCCGGCGAGACGCCCTTGGGCAAGACACGGTCATCCAGTGCCTGCTCCTGGAGCACCAGTTTCAGAGCTTCCTCGCTCAGAATGGACTTGATAGAGAGATTCAGAGTGGCGCTGTTGTCGAAGCTGGCCTCTGAGATGGCATCGTCGGCCAGGATCCCATTGCTGGCCAGCTCCGGCGCGAGATCCACCTCGTCCTCATCGTCGAAGCTAAAGGCTGCTCGCGAGGAACGATTCCAATAGTTTTCGCTGTCGAATTGCAGGTCCATTTGTTATTATTTTTTTTTTTTTGTTATGGTTTAGATCAGTGTGGCCCTTGCATGAGCTTAGGGAATGTACTAAAAAATGTTTACTTTTCAAAATAACGTCCCAAATTTTTAAAAAATATATTTAAAATAAGAAAGAAAGCTAAATCTTTGCTAATATCCTTGCAGTTTGCAATTGATTTATATTTTAAAATTGATTTATCGGTAAATACACTAGAATTCCCTTTATTCAAAAGTGAAACAAAATAAATTCCCATTTACTTGCCATTTCCCTTTCACCTTTATTTATTCTAGCTTTTAAGCTTTTTCAAAGCCATGTTTATCCAAGGATGCAGTGCCTCTAGCCTGGTATAGACACCCGGCTTATCCGCCAGGGCGCATCCCACGCCCCAGGACACAATGCCAACCAGTTCCTCCCGCCAAACCAACGGTCCGCCGGAGTCCATTTGACAGGCATCCGTGCCGCCCTTGAGATAACCCGCACACATCATCCGATCCGTGACGGTCTTGCCCAGTAGTTTTTTGCAGACAGCTTGATTAACGACGGGAACTCGTGCATATCTCAATTCATCCGATGGCGGACCATTAACAGACTTAAAGCCCCAGCCGGCAATCGTAGTATATTGGCCATCGGCTACTCTCTTGGGGTTTATCTTAATAGCCTTTACCTGATAGAAACAGAAACCTTAAGAAATTGAGAGATCAAAGTGGGTAACTTGAAACCTTTTTTGAGAATGTCAGGGCTGTCTTCAGTCGAATGACTCCGATATCATAGTCCATGGTCTTGGTTGTCCACTTCTCGTGATAGTACAGATCGGAAATTTGATATATCTGGCCATCTTTGGAGTCGCGCTTTGAGCCGCCAGCTTTAACTCTTAGGAGAATCCGGGGAACTTGGGCCAGGCAATGGGCTGCCGTTAAAATTGTGCGATTATCTATAATGGAACCGCCGCAATGGTGGATGCCATACAACTGAATGGACACTATGTACGGCACTTTGGCTATATCAGCTGGAACTCCACCGACTATGCGGGGACTGGGACGATTGTCTTCTTCAGTTAGACCGAAAGAGAAATGAACAAAAATTAAAATCCACCATAACAGGTTCATCTTTCGCACTTCGCCTAGAGAGAATCACATTAAATAAGGAATGTGCGGCTTTTAAAACAGACTTTAAGTACAAAAGAACGTGAAATAATGAGAGGAAAAAGCATTCCGATAAGTGGCCATTACTTTGTAATTAGGCGAGAAGTTTCGTTTATCTCACAGCTGTCTTCTGGCGAAGATTTCCAGTTTGTTGCAAGACTAAAACTAAACGTTGTTCGTGCTTGCAAGTGATTATAAATGTTATAACAATTTAAACTAATTAGGGTTCTGTAAGAGGTGAAACAAATGTTTGGGAAAGAGTTAGTATCAAGTTAGGTTTGATTAATTATAACGGCTCAGATGATATGGTAATTAATTATAACTTTGGGGGGAAGAGAACTAGTTATAACCCTTCAGAACTCATATTATAGAGATGACAAACAAATTAATAGCTTTGTTTGTATATGCAAATTTTACTAATGTATTCATAAGTAGAAACTAGTGTTGACATATGTGGGGAATTAGTTAATTAATAACGTATCTTGGTAGATAGGTAAAGGTCTAAAATCAATCATTATTAACTTATAAATGCTAAAAAATATAGGTCTACCTTGAGTCAACATCTTTCAAGGTCTTTCTTCGGTAAAATTCTGTTATTGTTGTGGAAAATACATATTTTTATGTCAGGTAAAATTCCTTAAACAACCATGATTCATATCATAAAGGTTCAACAATATATGTCTGTCTGCGGTTTAGTTATTTTTAATTTTCAAACAAGTTTAAAGATAAACTTTTAAAGATAAATTTCAAATCAAGGGAAAGTAAAGATCACATCAAATTAAAATTAAGTTTTTAAATAAATAAAAAGACATTATGACATTTATTTATAACTCTTTTATTAGCTAATTAAGAACGAATCTTGGTAGCCTGGTAAAAGTCTGGAATAACCCATGATTCACACAATTAAACCGCTCACAAAATATAGGTCTTTCTTCGTTCTAGATCTCCCTATTATTTTGACACTTTTGCGGCTATATCATCTGTCTTTATAATAATGGCCAAATTCGGTCTCTATTCATTGTTTGCCCAATTTGTTATCAAAGCACGACCCGTTTTCTCGAAAGAACGGACTCTCGCCGCTGATTTGCATTGGCTTGACCCATAAATTTGGAAATCAAACACCGTTTGATGGGCTATTCTAGTTTTACATACCAAAAGCTCACTTTGAAAGCAGCGCCAGCGTCTTGCTGGTGTGTCTTTGCCAATAAAGTGGGCTATTCAGGTTTCCAGCAAGATCGGCAGATAGCATTGATCTTGCCGTGGGATGGGGGGCATCAGCTGAAACCGAGTAAAAGTAAACATTGGAAATAAACCCACACGAAATGTCTCGGTAGATTTAATTTAAGCCGATTAAGCGGCTAGAATGGGAGAAAATTGGACAACAAACGATTTCACGTGGTGTACCTTATTAGTGAAAGTGAAAAATAAAAACGACAGCGGGCAGCGACAGTTATAAGCCGAAAAAACCCATTACTACGCCCGGGCTTTCCTCGGACCAAAGGCGTTAACAGGCCCATAAGAAAATTAATAGGAAACTTAGCCAGCAGCTATTATACCCGATGTTACCTGGCTAACAGAATAAGCGAAGAGAGCTGGGAAAGAGCGCGGAGACAGGTGCACATTGTTCTCGATCGTTGACCGCAATTAGAATACTCTAACTAACTACGAGCTGAGAGCCAAAGTCGAAGCCAAAGCCGAGGTTGTATCCCGAACACGTTCGAGTTGGGACCGACGTGTAGAGATCGCGATCTTCGGGGAGAGACTTGACTTTGTACAGGTGATATTTACCATGCTAACAATTTCTTTTTGTTTGCTTGAGATTCTCTCGGGGCTCCAAGCCTCTGCATCCACAGCCACACACATCCATCGCCCCGAGACTTTCTTTTGTAAGAATTCCGAGTTCTCTCTGTACAACCTGTGCAGGTTGTGCTCCCCCAGCCAGTCGCAGCAACTCCTCCAGAACTTCTTTATCTAATTTTTATAACAAGTCACTCGGCGGCATTGAAGACTTCAGTTCTTCGGCGACCATCGAGTGGTCAAGTTCGGTGTTTTCTCTCCATTATTCTGGCAGAGCTGCGAAAGTGTTTTGTTTCAGTGTGACTAGGCTAAATTCGCCCGAATCGGAGAGTTCGGGATAGACTGTATAAAAACATAACTTGTTAATTAGGTAATTGTCCAGAAAACGATAGTCACATTAAGAGCTTTCGGCTTACCTAACAAAAAAGAATCTGCCGCATCACGGGAAAGGATAGCATAACGATCTTGTGTTATTCGCAATAACCACTAACTATATGTATTTGATATAGGGATTATAGGCCGTGTTTGTGTGTGTAGATACATATTATTTCTCAGTTTTTCTCAGTTGTGAGTTCAAATCGAACCGCTATATACAGATATGATGAGCCTTTTGCACTAACTGCAGAGGAATATCTAAGAAAAATCCGGTTTATTTAAACGGCTGTGATCAAGCTGACGGATGACTATGCCCAGGCATTGAAAAAACGGAGACAATCATTCTGAATAAGTGAACCGAAGACCGAAGACCAAAGAGCGAAGACTGTGCAGACTGCAGACTAAAAAGACCGAAGACTAAATTCTGAGGAGGAGGAACAGAGGCTGCAAGAAGCTGTGTTTGCAAAATGCAAAGGTTCTACAGACTTTGGGCCCGTCTGCGGATGGCTACAGCTTCCGTCAAAACATTAGCGAACATTAGGACGTCCGTTTTGGAATGGGTTGATGGATGATGTGACTTTGTCATAATGAAGTAATGCATATTTCAACATAAAACTGCAAAAAAAATAAGCACAGAATGCAAACCTTTTAGACAGACATTACAAAACCATAGGAACTTAAGTGTTGCTAATCGATGGATATTACGAAGGCAATTTGTTGGCTGAAAGAGTGAAAGAATCTGAGAGGAAATTAATAAAATCATAAGAAACGAATTCTTTAAATAAAGTAAGAGATTCTTAATTTGTCGAGTTCTATTTTCCGAGTTGAATAACTTATTAAATTCTAAACTCTGCTAATCGATGATTAAGTATTACGAAAGCCATTTCTTTTCATCAAGTTCTTAATGTAAAAATTAAAAACAAAAGAAATGCCATTACTAAACCGCAAAACGCCAAAATTGCTGCTAATCGTTGGATTTCATGAAAGCCAAATCAAATCGCTGATTCTCCCATGAACCTATAATTGCCAATATTTATTGAAAATTTGGCAAAATGCAACAGTGTGATATCTACCGTTAAATATGCTGCCTGAATTTTCGGCGACTAAAGAAATGAAATCATTAACACATTCAGTATTCAGTCAGAATGGTGAAAGTTTTTCTTACGTTTTTTTGGCGGAACCGCTCGTCGATCTCGAGTCTCGGATTTCTATTGACTCTTTTGGTTTTTATTTTTTTTTTGGGGTGTAGATCTTTTAATTACATCATGCATCTGGAAATAGGCTGAATGTGAATGGAATTGAAGTCGGTCAGAAGAGTTGGTAGTTTGTAGCCGTCGTCGCATTTGGAAAAATAGAAAATAGCAATTAAGAGAAAAAGAAATAAAATCGCGTTAACTGTGCTGATCAGTAAAATAAAAGAAAGAGTTTTTTGGAAAGTGCTAAACAGTAATAAAAAGGGCTGATCAAAGAGCGGACTGAGTGATATGTGTTTATTAATTGTTTGAATGGACAAAGGCCCACAGGATCTGACAATAAAAAGAACAGAAAACGAGAAGTATTATTATTACAATTAACTAAAAGTCGGTATTAGATACATTGTTAATTATTGTTGTACAAATAATATGTACAATAACTTTTGTACTTCTTAGGCACTTTTTAATATGAAGCCCCTTAGCGTCTTAGTCATGTACTACCTCTTTCTGATAAATTATCCCCCCTTTGGGCATTTTGTATTCCACTTACGAGCATCCCAAATATTTCTGGCCCCCCCTTATTTGGTAATTGTCGAAATTCTTGGCCCGAAAGAACGACCATCATTTAACAGTAATTTAGGCAATATAAACGACTGACTCGCCGCACTAATCGATTGTGATCAGCAGCGACACAGTTAGGCGCGGTGCCTGGTTGGTGCTGGTGCTGGTGCTTGGTGCTATTTCCTCCTGGCATCCATCGCATCCGAAACCACACCAAAAGCCGGTTGGGATTGGGTTTCGGTTTCGGCTTTTGGGTTCGACTGGGACCTGATCGCTGCGGGCGCAGCGAACGACCCATACATATGGTATGTCTATGCTCGGCAAAACAGCTTTTTGACGATAATCATTGACCCAATTCTTCTGCCGCTTTCTACAAGATTTTGTACAATAACATGGTCATGGACTCGTTATAATGCAGCTTCCTGAGCGGCCATTCTTTACATGGCAATGATATATGTGTATACTATGTTCATGTGCAGCGGACCCCGACATTTTCCGTTTAAGCGAGAATCAAATGTGGAGGGGAAAACAAACACAGAAAGCGCCAGAAAACCTACAAAAGTCTTTCAAGCATTTTATATCTAATTAAGTTCGCTTTGACCGGCGTATGAATCATATTAACGGTATGCTATCTCTAGTCTCTGGTCTCTAGTCTCTTCTCCTAAAAGAAAGATCAGTTTTTGGGCAGCGTCGGATTACCGCTTCCAGTGTGTGTCTAGGTGCGTATTCAGTCGGGCGTTTCTTCTACTCCTACATTGGGGATGGGATCCATTACAGCCAGACTACTGGCTATTCATAGAACGTAACGGTAAAGCTATCAACTCGGGCTTAGAATGTATATGAATTTATGTATGCAATTTATTAAAACAGTTACGGTGTGTTAATTGGTGGCCAGCCAGAAGTCATGCTTCAAGTGGGTTTCCAAGCGGAAATATTCAAGCGGAAATTTTATTTACTTAAAACGGAAAGGGAGGAGAGTGTTTCTTTGTTTCTAATTTGATCAATTTATAGAATATTTCTAGATTAATTAAGGGATAGTAATCTAGAGTTCTTTCTGTTGTATAAGTCCCTGCAATTAGGGTATTTGTATAACCTAGCAGGGTGCTATAATGTCAGTTAGAAGTTTGAAACGCAGTGAAGGAGTCATTTCCGACCATATAAACCATATATATTCTTGATCAGCACAAACAGGCGAATCTTTCTGGCCATGTCCGGAAGAAATTTTTTTCTTTAATTTTTTGCGAAATTTTATAAGGGGTTACATCGTTAAAAATTTCAAAAATTGACCATATTGTTGATTTTTTAAAATATAAAACTTAGAATGCAGATTTGTTAACCCTGAAAAAATAAGCACATAAAAGGTTTCCGAATTGAATTATTTGCAGTTTTGACTTAGTTATGATATTATTTATAAAATTATGGCATTATAGCATTTCATCCTTTAAAAAAGAAATTTTCCTTGCAATTTAAGTTATAATTAAAAAAATAAAAAATGACTTAAAATACTTAAAAGAAACCCCAAGAAAGCCTTAAAATTTAAAAACATTCAAAATACATATACTCCTCATGAAAAAAGGCACAGAAGCCAAGCCCCATCATCAGTTTCCAATGGCTGAACTTGACCATCGTTCGTAATGTTATTCCCTATAATCGAATTGTTGCTCTGTATCATGTGTTTGTATTAATAATTTTAGAAATTGTTAAGGTACGGTACTTGCACCACTAAAGAAAAAAAATGAAACCCCAGACTTGGCCAAACAAGTTCTACATGGTACTTGGCGAAAAATTAGAGCTCATGACCCCTTGATAGTCTTGATAGTCTCTCCGCCGGCGCAACCGTCAATCATAAGCGATGACCATTAACTCGGCAGTTGCGCAAGAGTTTAACTCCAGCGGACCAGAAAACTCCAAGGGGGCGAAGGGGACCGGTGGACTGGTGGAATAGTGCACGGGGTCATCGACGTGAGCGCGAGTTCTCGGTCTCCGCAACGGCGTTTTACGGGTCCATGGCCGTGATATTGTCTTTCCCGCTGGATCTTCTATAATTCGCGTTACGCCTTATGGCAAACAAATTAATTTGAGGTGATTTAGACAGTGCCTGCGTGCGTATAGTAGTCGTCGGATCAGCCAATAACGAGAGATGCTATATAAACCAACAGGGGGGACTAACTAACTTTAGAATAGTTTGTTTAAAAAAAATAGAGGGGAGATTGGCTTTGAAAGTAATACAAGTATTACAAGTAATTTTCTTGGCTAATAAAAGTAGGAGATGGGCAGGATCATTATATATATGTGGCCATAGAGAAAATACACTAATAAATGAAGAAAATTGCCAAAGATTTATTGCTTAACCTATGAGAAGACTCCCTAATTAAGTCATTAAGCTTATTTAATGTTAGTTTTAAGACAAAGCTCTGGCATTAATTATAACAGGAAGCGGTTTTCATTAAGGAAATCCCTTGACTTTTACAGGTGCCCCACAGTGATACTCGTAAAATGGCCAAGATTAACTTAATGAGGCAACTCATTCTGGCCCTAATGATTTACAGTGCGGCCACCGCCAAGGAGCACCTGCGGATTCGCAGATTAGCCGCGGCGGAATCGGCCACAGAAGCCCTGCCCAATGCCAGCCAGGTAATAGCGTCCGCGGAGGGTAGTGATACCCAAACCGAGGTGCCGAGCCAGGAGGAGACAAAGGCGGCCGAAATAAATAATAAAACCGAGACTGTGGTGCCGGCGGAAAACGTGGAGACTCGTAACTCGGCATTTGATTTGCCCGCCAATTCGGATCAGTCCAGCAGTGGCCAGGGCTCCGAGGAGGACAGTATCTACTACGATAATGCTCCTGTGGAGTGCCAGCCCGAGCTGGTGGGCTTCGAGATCGTAACAGGGTAAGGGTCCCCATTCTGGGATGGTAATTAAACGGCTTAATGGCTCCTTTTCCTCCTCGTTTAGCTATGTGTTCTCGGCTCCCGAAAAACTGATGGATTCGCAGCCGGGCACGCTAATGCTCACCGATTGCCTGGACACCTGTCGGAAGAACAAAACCTGCCAGTCAGTGAACTACGAGACCGGGCTCTGCGTGCTCTTCTCCGCCCATGCCGATCAATTACCGGGTAAGCTACTTACACAGCCTTAAGTAAACTGGAAGAAGAGTCTCGTTAATTACGGATATATGTCTCGTACTTGTCTCGCAGGCGCCCTAACAAAGTCACAGTTCCCCGTGTTCACAATCTATGCCCAAAAATCATGCCTCTCGGTAAAGCCCTGCTCCCGGGCCTGGTACGTCGATCGTGTGCAAAATTACAAGCTCAAGACGGAAGTTAAGCGTACCGTGTCGCTGGCGTCCAGACGCGAGTGCTTTGAACTTTGCCTGAGCGAAACAGAATTCACATGCAGGTAAGAACTGAACCATTTTACTGGAGTAGCTTTACCGGCTACTATCTTTTTCGACGGTCGTTGTCTTCCCTTCTTGACATTTAATTCGGGCAGGAGAGAGATTACCCCACCAGGCCCGCGTTAATTGTTCCATAAAACAAGAGTCATGTGTAAATAAGCTGCTCTTTTATTTCAATTTCCCCCATTTTAGATCGGCCAATTATGATCGCTCTTCGGGCGCCTGCGAGCTGAGCGAGTTGGATCGCCTCACCTTGGCCGGGTCACAGGCCTTCCAGATCAGCGAGGGTACGGATTACCTCGAGAATCACTGTGTCGACGAACCGAACAAGTTGTGCGAATTCAAGCGTCTACCGGGTCGCATTCTGAAGACAGTGGATTCGGTTTATCAGGAGGTCAGCAGCATTGACGAGTGCCGGGAGCTGTGCCTGAATTCACCTTATAGGTAAGTCTAACAGGATTGGGTAGAGAGATGTTTCTTATAAGGATCCTTTTGGGACTCTAAGAATTCTAGAGTTAAAGCTATCCTTATCAATCTTTTCTTAGAAAATCGAATTCTTAATTCCTAATTTTAAGCATTTTCTTAAAGTAAATATCGCATTTCTCCAAACTCACCCCTCTTTATTTTATTTAAAAATCTTCCTTGCTAGGTGCCACTCCTATGACTACAATGACACCGGTGACATGGTTTGCCGACTTTCGCATCACAGTAGAGCCACCTTGGCCGATGTACAGGAGCCATTCCTGGAGGTGCCCGAGGCCTCGACCTATGAGCTGACCTCCTGCTACAATGTTACCATTGAGTGTGGCGGTGGCGACATGCTGGCCCGCATTCGCACCTCCAAGCTCTTCAACGGCAAGGTGTACGCCAAGGGTTCGCCCAAATCCTGCTCGGTGGATGTGAAGAGCGCCTTGGACTTTGAGCTGCGGATGAACTATCACGATCTGGAGTGCAATGTGCGACAGAGCACGGCCGGTCGCTACGTTAACGACATCATTATCCAGCACCACGACATGATTGTTACGTCCTCCGACTTGGGCTTGGCTTTGGCCTGCCAGTACGATCTGACCAACAAGTCGGTCAGCAATGGCGTTGACCTCGATGTCCGCGGCGACATCATGCCGGCCCTGTCCGAGGAGGTTATCGTGGAGTCCCCGAATGTCATCATGCGAATCACATCGCGCGATGGCTCCGATATGATGCGATCCGCCGAGGTGGGCGATCCGCTGGCCCTGAAATTCGAGATTGTTGACGAACAGAGCCCGTACGAGATCTTTATTCGGGAGCTGGTGGCCATGGATGGTGTGGATAACTCGGAGATTACATTGATTGATTCGAATGGTTGTCCGACTGATCACTTCATCATGGGACCAATCTACAAGGGTTCGGTTTCTGGCAAAATGCTGCTCTCAAACTTCGATGCCTTTAAGTTTCCCTCGAGTGAGGTCGTCCAGTTCCGAGCCTTGGTCACGCCGTGCATGCCCAGCTGTGAGCCGGTGCAGTGCGAGCAGGAGGATACCAGTGGGGAGTTCAGGTCCTTGTTGTCCTATGGCCGCAAACGCAGATCGCTGAATACAACAGGTGAGTCTAGCCAAGCAAGAAAAATATAGTAACAAACAACAAAGTTTTTCAATCTAAAAGCTATTAAAATTAATAAATAAAATATAAAAGGAAGGAAAACTCTTACCAAATATAAACCAATTCTCTCAATTCTCTACCCTAAAATATTCAAATTAAATATTAAATTAAAAAATTAAAACCCTTTCCAAATATTAAACAATTCTCCCCGTTCAATTCCCTTCCCTAAAATAGATGATCATCCCAGACCTAGACGGGATATTGAGGCCACCAAGTCCAAGTCCACTCCCAGCGACATGCTGCTGGTGCAGTCCATTCAGATAACGGATAAGTTTGGATTTAAGCAGGATAAACAGGAGAGCGGGGACTTTTACGATGGCAATGAAACCACCTTCACGGCCAACGAAGAGGGTCATGGATTCTGCGTTAACGCCATTGGTAAGTGCACACTTGTATAAACGAGACCACTTAAAATTCCTGCCACAAAAAACAAAATCGAATCAATTCTCGCTTCTCGAAAGTATATGCTACAGCATGCGTTTAACTTTTCTCCCCAATTAGGTCTAATTACCGCTGCCACCATTTTCTTGCTAACCCAGTTGGCCGTGATCGCCATTTGGACGTACTGCTATCAGCGCCGCCAGAAACTGCAGCCGTATCAGCATTCATACTAAGCGCACAGATTCGAACCGAATGCAATATTCATATACTTACAGCATTAACGTCTAAGCTTCAAAAGGTGCAATCAATATTTACGCAAGTTATGATAATTAATAACGAATACCCGTCGTCCTGATACCACATCCGATCCGTACCGCTATTAGCCTTATCTAGTCAGTGCACGATTTTAGAGAAATGAAATTAATGTGTGTCCTGTTCGGTGGAATTCAGATTGTTTGCATTGCAGCCATGGCGTTTTTTTAGTACTCGTAACACTATCTCTTCCTAGTGTGTGTTAGGTTTGAGATTTCCGCGATTCCCCACTTGCAAAGGCAGTTCGACCGACGACACTGGCATTGAACTCCCTTTGCGACTTCGGAACTACGTTGGTTGACATTTGTAAAAACTAATGCATATTACACTTAAATCCCTCATCTGTATCTGCATCGGCCTCATCGAGTGCTCATGCCTTAGTCTAAGCTTAAGCAACCTAATTTATTACATATCAATAGCTGTTTAATGTTTGCATTGAACCCCCCTTAATTTTATGGAACGAAACTCATCTTATTATTAAACCTTAAGATTTTTAATGAGCTCTCTGTGTGTTATTCTCTGGGTTCAAGGGGGGCGAAGAGAATCCTAAATAAAATGAATTACAAATTTATGTGCCTTGGTTTTCTTATTTGGGACTGGCTCTACTTTTTCTTCCAGCTATAATTGCTTGGATTTGCGATTATAAATATGGGAAAGGTAGGCAAGTCAGTAAAAAAACTCATCTTACCCACGCATAACGAATTGTGCGAATCAAGGCTTGGAATGCAGACACCTGCGAATTATTATTTATACTTCAATAAAACTTAAAATGCAGCCACAACTGTAAAAGGCGACTCAAGGGCCTTGGATTTCCAGGAACATGCTCACTTAGAGTCGCCCAAAATGCACGACACACACTCCGACTACGAGTCGAGGCAGCGATTCACTTTTCCATGTGGGCAGCAGAAAGGAAGGTCCAAATGTCGTGCTCGTTTCCCCCAGGTTTCCCAGCGAGGCGACGCGACTCAACGTCCCATCTTCATTATGGCCATGCGGATGGTACACCTGTATGAAGATCCAGCAGCAGCAGCTGTGTGAATCATGCAAATAAATGCACCCTCGGCACAACAGGAAACAGGCTTCGTGCAGATTTGTATCTTTATCTACTGGAGGAACGCTCACTTGCTGGCTTTGCTTGCATACGGGAAAGTGACTCCTGTCCGCCTGTCACCTCATCCTCTCATCCTACCATCCTCATCGCAGAGCTCACTCTTCGTTGCCTCCTGGCAGTTGACGGAATTCCTCTCAATTAATTTACTTAGCATTGCATCTTCAACGACACTATATACTTGAAGTAGGTACCACACTCGTACTTGAGAGCGCCACGGAGATTTTATATCGCTGCGGTACTTAGCGCTAAGTTGTGGTTCTTCTATAGAACATAATCTGGAAAGATTCTTAATTAAGGCATGCATGCAAGGCGATAAAAATGAATGTACGTTAGATTTGTAATGATGGTGGTGCCGTGGCTATTTTCCTCGCTCAATTAGAGATTCCCCAGTGTCGATTGTGCTCCGTCAGCATACGAAATAATTGGTCCTCTTGTGCTCTGCTCTGTTCTCCTTCTGCCCAGAGCTCTGTTCCAGCATTCGTGCCAAGAATTGATCACATATGCAGAAATTAAAATACATCACGTTCGAAGGATGCATAAGAGCTCTGCCCGAATGAGCATTACTGCTGCCTGAGGTGGCAGCAGCACAGGTGGCAGGCAGTAAATGGAAGATCATATATCACCATCGCAGTCGTAAAATCGACACTCGGCCCAGTACTCTGCTTTTAACGTATTATTTTTCAAGAGTAAATCTAAAGGAAAATCTGAGGTTAGACTTAATTGGCAAATAAATGTAGGCTTTTTGTAGAGAGGGTAGTTAAGGTAATCAACATAGAGTTTCAAGTAAACTTTTTTATTTTTTCAATCGAATGTTTTAGAAAATTGTAAAGCCAAATTTTAAATTATTTGTTAAGCTAGACAGATATTAGTTAAATATTTAAAGAAAGGCGCGTCTTGTTGTAACCACTTGAAGGTGATTATATCTTATAAAAAAGTACACAAAAAACGGCTAAAACACACACACTTTTAACTGGGGTTTGTAAGCCTAACACATACACACTATATTATATATGCAACCCAGTATATATATATATAAATTTATTATTTTTACAGTAGGAAAACATGTACTTAAGCTATTATATATATATATATATGAATTGATACAATTTGTATACTATATCCTTTTCACGTATAAATAAAGTAATGAAATAAAATAATTAAAACAGTCGGCACTGGAGTTACCTTTGCCATTCGCCAACCGCCTTTACTATATATATTTACAGCAGACTCTCCTCCGCATGGCGCTTTGTCTCTGACTATATAAGCGTTTCAGTAATTTGGAACCGACACTGACTCGACGACGATTATTATGGCAACATCATTTAGGGCTACGAATCCGAATAGATAATGCATCGCTTGTTCTTGCCAACAGAGGCCAGCATATTGTTGTTGGGGCTCCAGCTGACGGCATTTACCGCAGTGCTGTGGGGGATTTAATAATACAAAAAATAGAGAGAAATATTATAGAAATATATTAGAAAGATGTCATTATTACTTCTCAGTTAAGATCACCCTTACCTGTGCCCCTTGAGAGTAGTTTCTAGGAAACCATTCACATTCCAAATATATATGGCGCCATCCGCTGATCCACACGCGATCTTTAGGCCGCTCGAGTTGAAGGAAGCCCGAGCGAAATCACAGCTGATTTTAAAGTGTTCGTTTCTGTTTGAAGATACCACTTGAGTATATAATATCTAAGAGCTATGGAAACTCTCAAAGAACTTACGTAAACGTGGATATAACTTGATTTTTGCGTAAATCTAATAATTTAATGGTATCATCTCTTACAGAGCATATGAGGTAATTGCAATCTGTATCGAATAAATTATTGAATAATTGTTTTAATTTAAAATTCAAAGCACCTACCCTTTGACAAATCCAAAGACGTTATTTTGGCCGGCATCAGGACATCGTCTGCCTGCTTCTCGGTGCGTATGTCCCAGAATCGAATCTTCTTGTCATAGTGCCCGCTGATGATCGTGGATCCCAGGCTATCGGTGGTCACCAGATCGTTGCAGCTCGATCCCGCGAATTTGGTCTCTATACAGGCGATGCTGCGCAAGTCCCAGATCTTTAGAGTGCGATCATGGCTTCCGGTCACCACTTTAATCGGCTCTTGGACGTATTTGGCGGCCATTACTTTGCCACTGTGACCCGTCAGCGTGTGCTGCAAAATAGTTTCGAGATTTCGGTACAAAACAGTTAGCGCTAAAATACGTTATAGGGCACGGCAGGCAGCATCTTAAACTAAATGCTAATCATAACCCAGTCAGAGAGAGAGAGGGACATGGGGACATGGACCGCCAACACCTTTTCTGGCTTTTGTCGCACATGTAAGTACCTTCCACCAGAAACCGGCTAATTACGCCAGCTAAGTATCTTTCACTAGAACGGCGTGCAATTAAAAAAAAAGTGTCCGCTGGCAGACATTTAATTGCGGCGTTAAAAACTCGGATCTTAACTCCGCTGGAAATTTATTGACATAGGTCGCTTGGATGGCCATGGCCATGGTAATGTCATCTTACAGTTCTTCCTAACCCAGAGAGTTACATACTATACTTTACTATATGTATTATGTATATATGTATGAATGAGTGTCATTGACACCTGGCAAGGGGACTCTTCGCTGGTTCTTTCGTTCAAAGAACTGTTAATTCTTGAATATTTATCTTACAACTTAGAGGCATGACATCAAGAAACCAGATTAGATAAAAATACAACTTCCTGGGGATCAGGAGAAATGTCTGATTTATTATCAGGAAGCTGTAGGCACTTAAATTAAATAATTGGGGGAAAATATAGGGGGAGAAAAGATAAGAAATCTTGGAAGTATGGGAGTCTCAAGGTCTTCTAATAAAAAATTGTATAATTAAACATCTTGGGGTGGCCTTAAATAATAAAATACAAATTTTCTCTCTCTTAATTAAAGAACCTCCGACTGAGACTGCGTCTCCAACTCCCAGAGCGAGTCCGGTCCGATTTCCAACCGGCAACCGGTCAAGTCGAACGGTCAATGTACGGGCAGTGTGGCTTGAAGCACAGTCAAACATGTTTGACTGGGAGCACCACCTCTTTTGTGGGCCTTGGGAGAACTCTGGAGAGAATGGAGCTGGAGCAAAGAGTGCTTGGGGTCTGGGGAAAGAGCCACCGGTTCCAACAATAACATGGATAGAGGGAGCTCTCTCTTAAGAGGTTTGTTTGCCACCAAAACATGTTGTCAACGAAACCGGTGGCTTCAAAATTCTGCAAGCCACTTCACTCCGTATGGGATCTGTGGTATGCTGCGTGTGAAATGTACTCTTTAAAATAAGCTACAAAGTAAGGAAAATATATGTCCAGCGTAATGAGGCTCCCCGAGTGAAGCTATTGATTTAATGTTAATTATTATTATTATGGTGTTAGGAGGAACAAATCACAGGAGCTGCTAAGTTTTATAAGTACCTGTCCTGGCTAGAGCTTATAAACCTGTCTTGCTTGAAACCTGATCAATAATAATAGTTTATAAGCCCTTTTCTTATGGAAAATTTATAGTAAAGAGCCGTGTTATGATGCACAGATAATTGAGAAATTATAGATTTGAAATAGATATAAGAGAGGTTACTACTCTTGAGACAATCCAGGGTAAGTCTACTGCTTATTTATATTTGATATTTACTACCTTATTTTACTATATGTTCGATATGAAATTGATCCTGAAATTGTTTTCCGAACTATTCTTTTATATATTTACATTCCGAGTCTTTGCCACTTTATCATTTAACTATAATTTTATCGGAACTAGTGAATAATGTATTTTTTTATTAGGAAGATAATACCCGTGAACTGATTAGTGACAAATGATGTATTTATTTATAGTATTCAATGGGAAAGACCCAAGTGACTTAAAGCTTGTTAGCTGGAAATTGATAAGGATTTGGTTTTTATATAAATATTTCTATCTATTTATAATATTTATATATATATAAATGAAATGTATATAAATTTCGCACAATAAAATATTATCAAAAATATTTCCTATTGATCTGCTAATGTTAAATGTTTTTAGGAAGATAAAACCGTAAACAATCAGTAACAACTGATGTATTATTTTGAGTATATATATTTCTATCTCTTAATAATAATATAAAAGAAATATATAGGAATTTCGGATAATAAAATAGTAGCAATATTGATAGAAAGCCAACCGACAATTACTTTCGGTTGAGCTATTGATTTGCTAATCAATGTTAAATGGTCCAAATAACATTCTGAGGGACGCCACAAGTGCGGATGCGGGATGCCAGTTGGCAACAAAAAAGTGAGGCCCAAGCATAAATGATAATAACCCGGCAATCAGATGACTGTTTTGATCGCATTGTGGCCAGAGGCCGTACAAGTCAGTGTGCTCATTTTAATGCTGCAGTGCAGCACAGTGCAGCTCGGGCGCTATTCTTCAGTTACAGTTTCCAGTTGTGCGCAAAAGAACCGTTTAAATGTCAATCCAGAAATACCAGTTAGAAGCGTCGTAGTCGTCGTCGTGGTCGCGCAGGCGGAGAAGCAGGAAGAACTACACTTGTATGTTTGTTGGTTCGCATGCGGACGATGTGCAGCATAAATGGATGGAGTGGCTGCGGACCGGCGGATCTCGCCTGACCAGGCCGGGTGGAGATGAACCTTGGGGTAAGGAAGATTATGCGCCGCTGCCTCAATTCAGGCCAACATTGTGCATCTGTATGGGGCCAGTTTGGTTTTCCTTCAAGCTTTCATCGGCGACTTTTATTTATGACCATCAATCGAAATTGATTTCCCGATAAACATTCTCAAAAATATCCATTATAGGATAAATATGTCAATTTCTGGGTTATTTTTTCAGTTGAATTTGTTTAATATCGTCTAGGGAAATGCTATTTCTTTTTAAATAGCAAATATTTGCTTTTAAGATGCCTTGGAGCCTCTTATAAAATTGATAAATGTATTTTTGATTTTGCTAAGCAATTTGTATATTTAAATTTTCAAGTAAAAATAGTTCTAAAGGTTTCACTTCTTTTAAAAATTCCCAAGAAGTCTGTGTAACCAAAGCATAAAATCGTTTCTCTATTCATCTCAGACTAGAACGATGAGAGTACCACAGCATACGTACATATCATAGTTAAAGTGCTTTATTTACTACATCAGTAAACACATTCAGCGTCTCTGTAATGTTTACCCGCTGACTTGTGTTTACTTTTCGCCTTTTTTCCGAGTTAGAAAGCGGCAAACATGCAAAATTTATTTATAAACATTGACATTGGTATGCCTGTATGTCTGTATGCTTCTATACATATACAGAGACAAGAGGGGTAAATGGATAAACAAAGGCGCAGAAAGAATATCACGAGGGCTGAAAATTCTTTATAAATCAGGGGCATCAAAGAAGTCCGTTTTTTAATCAGTACAAACAAGAGAATAACAATAGAAAAGGAAAGTGTGGTTAGTTTTCTATTTGAGATGCAGACTAATTGCAATTAGTAGGCTCCTTTAGTGAGCACGCATTACTTTCGTGTTCTCGTGTGAAGAAACCATTGAATTCTAATTTCGAAATTTACATTTTTCCTAGGGAAAAAGGGTCACAACAGCAGAAGATACTGAAAAGTAGATTATCCAGCTGTCAAAGCATTGCGGAATCTCCATCATTTTGATAATTAATGCTCATTGTCTTATTTTTAACCGTAATACTTCCCACACAACCGCACGAATATGTTTAGTTTTGATTATAAATATTACTAATTACTACTAGGCTACTTGTAAGATTGTACTTACTCTTAGTCGATTATCCATCACCGTCCATACCCGAGCACCGTAGTCATTGGAGGTGCCCAATATATAGGCGCCGGTGGAATCGAAATCCACAGAATTGATGCCGGCACTGCTACCGCTTAGAACGGCACGTGGCTCGGTGGAATCTATAATTAAAAATAATATATAGAAATATTAATTATTTATTAAATATTACCTATGCCAAACAAAGACATAAATAACGATATATACAGTCTAAAACGAACATTCTTGTATGTTGTTTTAGTACACTTTATTGATAATTTTTAGTAGGGACATCGATGTATATATTTGCAATAAATCGATATGTTTAATGTATCGAAAACAAAACCAAAATTTATAAAATAAAATTGTAATTATATCTTATTATAAAATAAAATTTTAATTATATTTTATTTTATTAGGTGTGTTATCTTTTTATATTTTAAAATGCGATATATATTAATGTTGATGACATTTCCGATATGTAATTGAGTTCGATATTTTTAATACAATAAATCATATCGTACATTCCCCTCGATAGACATTTATAACTATCCCAAGACATTGTTTTGTGATATTCCTTACAGCTTAAAACGACTACATTTAAATTCTTTATAGTTTCATTTTATAGAAAATTTTTAGATGAATTAATTTCCCATAAATTAAATTCGAATATATCTACGACGCAACGAAATTTCTTCAAGCTCTATAAAGTACCATTTATATTGGACCTACCTCAACATACATATCATAGCTAGGTATTCCCCCAGCAGCACCCGGTAATAACCGGATATTAAGATCCCCTACAGTTCCGCTTTAAGTCAATTAAATTCTTTAAAACAAGACACACCGATGCCCCCAAATATAAAAGATAAATTAAAATGTAAACTCACTTTTGCCAATATCCCAGAGTTTCACTTTGCGATCCGCACCACCAGTGGCCACCATACGCTCTACGGGACTCCAGCGCACCGCATGCGATTCGTTTTCATGTGCCTCAAATTTCATTAGGATCTTGGTCGGATTGGCCTGACCCATATAGCCCGTGGCCTTCAGGGCATCGATGGAAGATCGGGTTGTTAGGTCACCAACCTCGCACCCGCCGCCTGCTGTAAAACGAGCGCTAATATATTCATTATCATCGAGACCTATGGCTTCCATGGCTCCATTTATTGTCGCCTCGTCGAAGTCCTCGTCGCCAATGATTCCGCCAATGAACTGGGCAGGACTGGTGGAGTTGCGTTGCAGCGATGCTGCACCGGGCGACGGCGATGCTGGAACGTTGCCGGACGATGAACTGGGCTCGCGGACGGCGTCCTCAAGGTCACGTTTCAGTTTGGCCGAACGTTTCCTGAAAATTGACGGCAGTCTTTTTCTAGATATTTTTAAAAACGGTTATACATTTATTTTGAACCAAAAAATCAAAAGGAGCAAATCAGAATGAATGACACAGTCGAGAGAATATATTCGTCTAAATGGTCCGCTCTACTCCTTGGCGAGTGTGTTAGGGGGTGTTAGTGGAGAAGAACAGGATATTGATTACATGCAGTTTTGTGTGTGGTAGTTATCCGTCAACCTTTATGGTAGAATTGGTAGTTCCCGTCTTCCGCATTTTTCAGTTAACTTGCTTGCTTGATTTGGTGTGTTGGGTGGACAATATAAATGATTTATTTTCTGTATTAACACAACCCTAGGTAAGCAGCCGGAGTGCTGAAATCTCTAAAATAACTTTATAAAAAGAAAGGTCTAAAGGTCCTAATATCAGATAATAAAGAAATATAAAAGAGCTTTAAAAAGAAGGATCCTATCCTTCCCTGAATTCATTATAGAGTTTTTATATATATCGATACCACAAAGCCGATATAAAAATCGATAATTTATCATTGCGATAAAGTGCGATAAACTAAAGAATTTGTCATTATTTTTTCGATAATTCAGATGGTTTTAAACTATACGAAATTTTATGATATTTTTAAATTTCTATATAACAAACTTTTAAATTTTTTCTATATGATATTGAATCTAGAGGTTTACGCCGATGGTTAAAGGCATCGGCGGCGGCGTAGAGGTCAAAATGACTCGGCGGCGGCGGCGTAGTAGTCAGAAAGAACCGGCGGCGGCGGCGCGTCAAATAAGGCAAAAAGGCCATTTTAATGAGTTATTTTTTTTTTTTTAAGTTTTATAAAGAACAATGACACTGAAGGCCGCGCTGAAGCTGCGCCGATGCCGCACCAGCGGCGCGCCGCGGCGCGCCGTTATTTTCATAATTTGGCGGCGGCGCGTCAAATAAGGCAAAAATCGGCGGCGGCGGCGGCGTGGCGCGGCGGCGTATATGTCTAATTGAATCCTATATTTCGAGTTTGGTTAAAGTTATAAATTCTGTTATTTTTCCTATATTTTTCAAAGAAAAAAATGTAACAAAAACCTGCCTGGCGAGTGTAGGAAAATTTAATACAACTATTGTATGTATTTGTTAACAGTTTACATGTGATTTTTATCACCATTCCTTTATAAGCGTTAGATAAGCAACGCGATTAACCAGTCTTTATCTCAGCACTTATCGTAATATAGAAATGCATTTATGTACATGTGCGTACATGAATATTAATAAATAACAAAGGATATGCAAAGATATTAAATTGTATGTTTTCTTCATGATATTAATGCTTTCAATATGAATTTAATATGAGCAGCGTACCTTATAATGCTCTCGTTCTCCTCGTTCAACTTGTCGGCATCCTTGGACTTGTAACGCATGAGACGCTCCAGCAGACACCGATTTTCATCCTGTGAATCGACAGAGAACGAAAAGCTTTTCAACAAATGCTTTTTCATAATTAGAATTTATATATAGATATTTTTAGTGCCGTTTTGCTGCGCGATCTGTTTTTCCGCGATGAACGCTAATGTGCTACTGGATCGAAATCGGAAAAGATAGCAAGCTTTTCCCTCTATGTACATATGTATGTATAGGCATAATAAATTCATAGCGTTTGTAGCCATCTGCAAAATATATTTATCGGCTTGCACGAATAAAATACCGTGCGAATGTCTTGTTTTAGTTGTTATGGATCCGCGAGAAGCGCTGTTTCACTTGGAAAGCTTAGGCTTGAAGACAATTTAGCATATTTAATAAATAAATGTAAGGTAAACAAATTCAACTATAAGAATCTAAAAATTTATTCTTATCTTTAAAGGGTAACTCGTATTTCATACAAACTGATAAAAAATGCTAATGGTTTATTGACAATAAAAATTGATCCCACTGTCTGGACATTGTGCAAAAAACAGAAAGTAATCTCATGAAGTTCTTTTGAAATTAAAGTAAGCTAATTCTATGAAGAATGAAGACTGCCTTTCTTTGTTGACACAATTTATTTGGCTTTATTTTGGGAACATCGACCTTTGGAAAAGCGTACATCAAAAGAGTCAAGGCAACACCTACATACATAAATGTAGCGAGATGCTACTTACTAATGCTTTGCTTCCTTTGCAGTCGAAAAAAAAAAACACTTTTAATTTAGCAGAACGTAAAATTTGATCTTCCCTATATTTGAGTATTGTTTAGAAATATAAATCAATGCTTTGATGATCGCCAGACTTACCTGTACGCCTCGCATTTTATCCTCAAGTGAGCTAAACGCCAACTGCAGGGCTGTATGCTCATCCAGCATGGTGTTGTTTAGCTTCTTGAGCTCCTCCAAACTCGAATGAAGTAGCTGCACTTCGGCCCGCAATCGATTGTTGTTCGTTTGCTGTTCGGCGAGGCTGAAAGTACGAAAATTAAATGGAATTAGTGATTGAAAAGGTAAGAAAACAGATATTTTAGGAAATAATTATAACAAATAACTGAAAATCTAGGCAGTTTCTAGTCACATAAACAAGAACCTGACAGTCAGTTATTTGAAAGCAAGAAATATTAAACCTAGGAAATTAATCAAAATGTCAGAGTGTTTCTCTTAAATCCTGAGATATCTCCTCACAAACGGTTTTTATAATCTAAAGATTATATTTAAAGTATTTCCAGATTATTATACAGATACCACGACCAGATAAAGATCACTGTTACCTTCAGTGCTCATTATAAAACTTTAAAAAATAAAACCATAACTTTGCCTTATTTCCCCCCCCCTTCTTTTTTTTTTTTCCCCCCCCCCCCCCCTTTTTTTTTTTTTTTTCCCCCCCCCCCTCTTTTTTTTCCTTTGGTATACCCCTCTTATTAAAACCCCCCAAAAAAATTTTCCTTTCCCTTTCGGATATCAAGATCCTTTGCTGCTCCACCTTCTGGTTGAGGTCCACGATCATCTGCGAGTTCTCGCCCTTCCGCTTGTGCAGCTCCGTTAGCTCCTCCTGCTGGCTGAGCAGCTTCTTCTCAAGCGTGGCAATGGCCACATTGGAGCCGGTGCCACCTGTTGACACCGCACTGCGTAGCTGCTCGTTCTCCACGGACAGCTTCAGGTTGTCCGACTTGAGCTGTGCGACATGGTCGATCAGGCGGTTGTCTGAAATTAACGAGCGGCAATTAGAGTAATTGGGCGTGAGAAGTGGAGCGGAGCGGAGCGAGAACAGCAGGGTGACAATGACGGGCCAGTGGTGTGTGTCAATTTTTTGGGGGCTACTCGCTGGCGCTCCCGCTTCTTGGTGTCGTGACGATGCTTACTTTGTTCGATTATTTCCTTGAAATTCTCGCACTCCTTGCGGTTGCGTTCGCGTAATCGCCTCACAACATGCGCTCGCCACACATGTTCCTCCGTCGACATCTTCGTAATGTGCTTTTCCACGGAATTACTTATTATTCGGGGCTGCTTTGTCCGGGCGCTCGAGCGCTTTGCTTGGCTGCGGGATAAGTGGCGACTCCTCGGCGGGTTCCCCTCTTGGCATGGCAATCACGGGGTGGTGGGGGCGCTATAAGCTAGCTGCGGGAAATCGCATAATTGTCTTTTTACCAAATATGCTTATTATTCAGCTGTTGTTAAATTCACAACAAATGGAGCAGCGTGACCGTGGCTGCGACCGTTGAAATATACCAAACGGAGATTGGGAAATATACCGACTTAATACTAAATCAGCACTTGACTAGCAGTGCTTTTCCAAGTTCCCTGCATTCAAATAGATTTATTGCAGCCATCAGGAGTTTCCAAGAGCAGGTTTGACTAGATCTTATTTCATAAAACACCTTTTGAAAGACAGATAAACTCGTACAGCGCATAACTTTGTGTGATCTGGCAGCGCCAAAGAGGGCGCGGGTCTGGCAGAGTTGCCACAGTTATGTAATGATAAAACGCGTTAGTCCTTAATATCGATAAGTCATCGATACCTATATCAACTCACATTTTCGTTGATCGGCAGAAAAGACTGTTACTTTCAAACAGAACTTCAACTTTGGCAATTTCATTTTAATTAAGTTTCAAATTTGTTAAAAAGCTTTGTTGAATTATAAATTTACCTAATGGTTGATATAATTTCGAGGATTTAAAGGTCTATTTCGATAATTTTTGAGAATTTCAAGATGCGCAACCATATCCGTGTGTCTCCTGTTCCTATTTATATTAATGATCATTGGTTGCTTTCGAAAAAGGGATACCCCCCGTGTGGCAAGGACCAAAAAGCTGGCCGCCAGCGCTGTGGTAGGAACTACCAAAAGCCAGTACTCTTGCTTTAAATACTTTTCGGCGCCCATTCCCAAGGAGAAGAATGACAGCCGCACGACGTGATGGATAATCCGCTCCAAACGGCACCAAAAATAGAGATTACTGAACTCTAGAATGGCCAGCGTGCCTATAGTCTCCACCAGAAACTGAATGAAGTACGGCAAATGGATGTATCGCTTCGAATAGAGCGTTATTCTAACTGCCGCCACAAGTACTGCTCCGGCGAAGATATAACTGGCCAGCTGGGGAGCAGGGGAACAGGCATCGGCCTCTTGCGATAGGAATAGGGACAGTCCAAGGACGATGTGGATGAAGCCGGCGGTACAAACAGCCAATTTAGAAGCCATTGTTCTATATAAACTTTTTGTTTAGAAATTATAAAATGTAATATAACTAAGTTAAATGTAAAGTATGGTGTACTTTGGTTTTTCATAAAATGTATCCTTAATACAGTACAGTTCTCACTTGTTATATCTAGTAGTCTCAAAAACGATCTGCCTTGAGCCACATTTGCGTGTCTAAAGCAATCCCCTACCCTCTTCATTTATACATTGCAGAATTATTGTTAATAAGAGACACAAGACACACCAGAGTCCCTTTCAATTTTAATCCCCATCGATGATAAGCGTTAACGATCGGTGCAAGTGTGAAAATAGACTTCAATAATACACACGCCCCCCGGCAGTTACCACCAACACCCCAATGTCCCCTGGAGCGGCGACGGCGACGACGACGACGATGACTAGAAAGCACGCCGTGGAAATGCATTTGGTCAGCGTCAGCTGCTAAACTACGCAGAACATACGTACGTGTAAGTTTTCTAAACACGCAAAGGCAATTAAAATTTTTAAGCGACATACGAACCCGAACCCCCACGAATTGCACGCAGTTAACAGGAGCTGGACATCCCGCAAAAAGATTGACTGCAGCGGCCGCAGCCCAATGAGGGAAAAACAGGAAAGGTGGAGCAGGTGGGAGTATTGGCGAAGTGCAGGTACCCTGGTACTCAATCAATATCTTTAGACTTGAGTTCTTAAGTATAATTAAAGTTATTCATTATAAGTTAAGGAACAAATTTAAAAAATATATATATGGGTATTATAAATTCCTATTTAAAGTCTAAATTAATATAAAAGAGTGTAAAGATTCCTGATTTAAAAGAAAGTACTTAGAAGTTAAAACTTTTTGGAATCGTTTTCTAAAAGCTGAAAGAAATGGATTACTAAAAATCTTGACTATAAAATGCTGTAAGTTTTCAGCTTTTGATAACAATTAGTCAAGTATTTTTGTAAAATATTAAATTTCGTTTATTTCGACAAGAGCTAGGCCATACATTTTCCAACATAAATGCAGGGTATTCCTTACCATTTCCTAAAGAAGGAAAAACAGAACTTACAAGTGACATTTTCGCTTTACATGAATTAATTGAATGGCTGAGTAATAGCTATTTAAGCACCTACCTTTCAGAAGTTTTCAAGGGGTGCCCTTTTAATATTACGTGTCACCATTATAGACTGAAATGACCAAAAAATATGACAGGCACGTACCGTCTTGGAGACGCACCTTTGATGGCTCTACCTCGGAGCCGTGCGAATCGCCGCAGAAAGGCCATGTACCCGATGGCCATTGTGCCGGGTTGTACAACATATCGTATGCTTAATGCATAACTAATGAAGCAGCAGCTCCTACGTTAGTGGCACGACTGGCCGGCTGTGTGTGCAGCGTGTACTGTGTGTTATTGCACGGGCATTTTGTTTGGTCGGAGGCTGTCACTAGGACATGCCACAATTGCTGGCCTTTAATACCGGCCCCGTCTAGCGTCTCCATGTCCCCGTGCCCAGATCCCAGAGCAGTGCAATCGAATCGCCAATGTAACATACACACAGGTCTCTCCAAGTCTCCGCTCGTTTTGGCTGCAGAAATGTTTCGTGGTTCGTTCGCCAAGTGCCGCTGACGCCATCGAATTAGATTACAGAAACCGCTTTTTTTTTTTGTGTTTTTTTTCGTTTGCGAAAAACTCAGCTAATTAGATTTCAGGTTCAGTGAACCGTTGTTCGTTTTGGGCAATGATACGAGCACAACTATTATTAAATAAGTACTTTATGATATGGCAGAGAAGGAGATCGAAGTCCTCCTCATTTGCATGGGCCTCTGGACTGGAGAGCCTGGGAAGTGGGAATGGAAATCCAATTGCTTCCAGCCAGCGTAAATACTCTATACTCCGCCGCCATAGTCCGTTTGTCCAGGAGTGAGCATGCGATGCTACTCATAATCTGCATTCGGAATCTAATTCAATTAAGCAATGTTAATGGCCTGCCTGCGAGACGTGTACAGCTGCGGTCAGGAGCGTAGTAGTAAACTATATATAGAGATAGGCACATAAGTGAGGAACAGAGATGGTCAGTTAACCTTTTCTGAAGTGGAAGAAATCTGTTTATATTAGAGAGGGTCCTTACATTATAAACACTCTTATTATTATAATATACTAAATAAATTAATTTAAAATCCCTCAAAGCTATATTCATGCCAAATAAAATCCATGAATAGTTAACAATTTCTGTTTCCAAGAAATTCTTTTAATTATTTTTGGTATTTACTTATTAATTTAATTTTCCTGTAAAATCCTTCCCTCTTTCTATCTGTTTCCCTGCTAAGCTCTCCTTTCCCCCCATAAATCCTGTTATTGAAATTGCTTACCGAATGCTCGGCAGCACTGTCGTCAAGAAGCCACATAACGCGAGCAGCCAGCTAGCCAGGAGATGTATTCCCCGTTCTCGCCGGCAGTGGATTGAATTTCCACCTTATAAATTTAGCATCCGCTCTGTACTTTCCTCCTGACCGCAACTGTCGGTATACACACACTACAGTGTGTATATATATGGAGAAACTGATCTTGGCCAAGCGATTGTTCAGTCCGCCGGGGCGAAGGCGACGGCGACGGCGAAGGCATCTTTTGGTTATGTGGTGCGCATTGGTTTCAAATCGAATCGAATGGCTGCAGCCGTGGCTGGAATGCAGTTGTACTTTGTAGAGCAATTAAATTGTGGACGAAGAATGATTTAACAGCCAAAAGGAAGGAGCATGTGAGAGGCCAGAACAATGCCAGCTTTCAGCCATCAAGATCTGAGTTTTAGCCATAAGCCAGAATTAGAAATTATAATTTAGATCATACTTCTCGCTGGGTATGGCTGAAAGTCCAGTCGGACTTGGGTAATTTGAAGCCGAGTGAGCTTATTATGTATGCTCTTTATGAGTTCAGTTGCTTTTATTGCTGGCAATATAATATTTTGAAAACTAACAGGTTGCATATTTTTTTAAATTTGGGTTTAATGCTATTTATACACTTTCTAAGGGGTGTTATCACATTTTTAATTGGTCTTTAAGGTAATATAACTAATATCTTTATTTGTACGTTTTTGGATATATTTTAAATATTTTCTTCTATTTAATACAATTTATTTTACCTTTTTTTTAGAGCTTACCTTTATTGCTATGGGTTCTTTTATTCTCTGGCTTACAATATACTTTGTGTAGCAGTTTCACAAAAATTCCTGAGAACGTAAACTGATTACAAAATGTCTTAAACAGCACTTCAAGCTTATGGATTCAGCGAAACCATACAATTTCGGCTGACATGTTAAACTGCTTCATATCCGGTACATTGTGGCATTCCCTTCTTCATTTTAGCAGATTTATTTAAATAAAAAATAAATAAAAGAAATAAAATGTAAAGAAATCTTTAAGTGAAAATAAGAACCTATTTCTGCGGTATATAATTTCTCTCTTTAAATGCTATCTTCTTATATCTTATGTCCAAATATTTTCACCTGATTTATGAACCTTAAAAAAATAAAGTAGGTCTCATGCTAGTATAAGGTTACAAAACCGACCCAAATCAGCAGTCAATGGACTGAACTTGAAATGAACAAAAATGATCGACACACAACGAACGTCTCAGATTATCACAAAAATGGGACATTCAAATTGTAAAACTGTCGACGAAGCCGGAAGACAAAGCCAAACGCTAACACACATTATGGTAATCCCAAACCCGCCAATAAATTTCGCAAGAAGAAACTACGCGTTTATAATAAAGAAAGAAAAAAGAACAAGCCTCCTCTTCGCTTCATGTAAAAAAGAGATCGTGGGCCTTGGCTTTAGCCTCAATTAATCTTCCGGGCCCGGGAATTCTGCACCAGAGATGCCCAAGAGCTGTATATTAAATGAACTTGGCTTGTTAAGAAACAGTAAAGTGACTAATGGTGTACAACATCTTGCTGAAAGCCCTCTCTAGCTCTAGCACTTTCTCTTTGCGTGAATTAAAAATATGGGAATGAAGACGCAGCTTCGCATAATTTTTTTTGGCACCACGAACTTCCTGTCGTAATGGGTAGTTAATATATATCTTTCACTCGATTAAGATCAATTAAATTTATATGTCCAATTATGCAAATAAGGCGGCTGATAAAAATATATAGGGTTCTTAGTAGAAGCAAGAAGATATAGAAAGTTCAATGTTAATAAAATATTATCTAAGCATCTCAAGGTGATATGAATGTATCTTAATCCTTAAGATACTATAAAATAAAAACAAATCCTTAAGATATGTGGGTTTCTTATTCAAATATTTCAAAAGTTGTCAATAACTTTTACAAGCTCCCTTTTTTGAGTAAAAGTGGAATATTTGGTAAAGTATTTAAGCCATTTTGTTGTCTTGTATTCTCTAAATATTATATTAAATCCAAAACTATCACAATTTGTGTTGTATATTATGAAAATCGATTTAATATAATTACATTACCTCCCAATTTAAATTATTTTTTGTCCAATTGTCGACGCCTCACCATGATGATAATGGCGGATTCTGTGGAGAGCAAAGCAAACTGTCTCATTGTCCCCGCACAATGGAGTGGAAATGGAAGCGGAATATGCATACGACTGTGCGGCTGGGGCTACGACTTGGGTTGAAGCCGAGACTGGGGCTGGCTGACAGGTACAAAAATGCTGTCTGCCCCTTTAGTGAACTTCATTCATGCACATGCACTGGCGCAGTGAGCGGGCTGCTCCGACGTCGATTGCTGCACAAAATCGCGGCTACATCGCCTAAAACATTTTAATAAAAACTTTAACACAGCCCCGAACACAGGCACCACAAATGCAGCTAAAACAAAAAGGAAAGAAAAAAATGATGCAAGGAAAGGGGGGAAAAAAGCACTAAACTGGTTCCACTGCCTACTCCTATGGAAATGAAACATGGTGGTCTTTTTATTTACCTTTGGCTTAACAGAGGCTGTTAGCAGGCCTTTACCGAAAAACATACCTACATGCACCTGCAGATCGCGGCGTACCTGTGCGCCGCCGATACCTTTCGCATCCAGCATCGAGAGTACTTCGGATTTCGGTGTATATCTAGCTATGTGCTGTGTGTTGTATCAGCTGTTAAACTAGTCCGAAAACCAGTTTTACCGCAACAGCGATATGCCAACGAGTCTAGGTTCCAATTCCATTCCATTTCGTTCCCCCAGGTAGCGCCCACTTGTTGCCCCAACAGGCGAAACGAAACGAAACAGTTTCATTCCATCCGCTCACGTACACGCACACGCGCACGCGCAACCCGACGGATACACTTTCGCGCAGTGTACCTACCTATTCGAATTTTAGGTGGCTCCCGCGATACCGGTTTTGAGGCTGCTGCTGGTATGAATATGCCCAAGAGCTAATTTTTCAAGAGTTATCGCCCAAGAAATGTGTGTAAAGTTCAGAAATACAATACCTTCGCCAGGCCGAGGCGGAGACGTGTGATGTGAAGAATACACAATCGGCATCGATACCCAATACATATATTTCTAAACACCTCTATATAATTATTACCCCAACGATATATGAGTTAATCTCTGCAAAGTGAACACCAAAAATGAAATAATCCTCGTTTAAATAACAAAGAAAACCCGAATCTGTGGAGGAGCATCCATAGTTGAGATGAAAAAAATCAAATAAACCGTTTATATGTTGGTGTGTGAAACCCGAAAGCAAGACTTTCTCTTGCCAATTTGTTGTTTACTCGATTCACAATGGTGTAAAAAACAAACAGCGAAAAATTCACACAACTTAACCCATCATCATCAGCACTTTGGGGGAAAGGAGGATATAGAACCATAATGAAACCGCAGTGTGGAATGTGAACGTGATCGTGGTAGTAAATGCCGCTTCTATATGGCCCGGAGTTTAAATATATATTTGCGGCATTAGCAAAAGAAACAGTCGAAATATATATAGCCTGTCTCAGATCGGCCAATGAGGTCACGTATTGCCGAGATTTGTGTAAGAAAAACGTATACACTCGTGTAAAGGCCATATAGACACGGATAAATCAAGTTGCCATGCTACTTTTACTACACGCCACAAGGCTCCCACGCAGCGCTTTGTTTATTACCTTTTCGCGAAATATTATATTTTATAATTAAGCCCATAAGGCGAGCGTAAATCGGGAGTTTAACTTGAACAAGAAATATAATCGCAGACGTATGCCAAACGTGTTTCAGGCGGATCCTCTTGAGATCATAAAAACATCTTAGTTAAAAGTTTGAAAAGAGGTTCCGCAGCAGAAACCCATAAATAACACAAATTATTAACCAGTTTTATAACTAAATCTAACGCGTGTGTATTCTAATATTAATATTTCTTATGCAGCACACGGATTGCCAGCAAATACAACTTTAAATAAACACCTGTTCGAAATGTAATAAAGGATAACGAATTCCTTTGTTAACGGCGTGTGTCATTTTTCACGTTGGATACACACACTTAGCACAAATATTTTGCTCAATATTTAGAGTTTTTAGAATAAACGGTGAGTAATTTAAGCGACATATTAATTAACTCATTAGCTGTAGAGTCATACGTTAATGATTATGACTGTATTTCGTAAGATTTATAAAGGCGAATGGGGTTAAAAAAATAAATGAGAAACCCGCATCGTGGAGCTGTTTTGTTTTAAAGTTCGTATGTCACCAAAGAAGATTAATCTTAATCTGATTAAATGCCTTCAAGGTGTTTATTAAGCTGAAAATTGTATCTTTTTACAGTTTTCGCCAGCGGCAAGTCAAAGATATTTAATGGATGGCCAGACACCGATTGCTAATACCATGTGGCAGGTATCACAGCATCCATTTTACAAACTTTTTATTTTGTTTTCCATTTCAAATTTTCTTCTATTTAAATTAAATTAAAAACTTAACCGGATATGGCGAACATTGAACTTATTATTATGCCAATAATAATAAATGAATTCTTGTAAAAAACAAAACGTGCGAATCATAATTGATGAACATTTTAACAAACATATTTTAAGATTATACCTGTTACTCAGCAGTTGGTGGTTTAAGCTATGGGAAAAAGGCAAAATCATGAAAGTTAACAACCAAAAGAAACATTAAGATACTTGCTGAGTTCATTAGAACGATTAGAATTTAACCATTCAACCCTTTAGGGTATCAAAGTCTTGAATACGAAGTAGAAAAAACAAAATAAAATATGTTCTTTTTTATGATTTTATTTTATGATTCTACTTATTTCGCATTACATCACATCTTTCAACGAGCCAAAGATACTTATTCCCTCACCAATAAAAATAAATACTTTAGTACCCAATTCGCATTGGCTATTGTGTTTTTTTTTTCTTCTAACACATAACTATAAACTGTGCTAGGTTTCCATAAAAGATTAGATGCCATTCGGTATGCCAGGGTATCCCCGGATTCGGTCTCCCCCTCAGAAACCCAATGGCGCGTTCCTTTCTTGTTTATTTAAGATTTGTGTGTGGCAACCATCGTTCGCATTCCAACAGATTTTGAGATTTAAGTTCGGTACGTATTGTACCACATTCAAAACTAGAAAATGTTGGCAAAAACAGCATCAATAAGCAACAGGTTTCTTGTGCGAGTATCTGCACCCAGCCAGCACAACACACTACACACCACACTATACACTATACACTACACACTACATAGAGGAGCAGGCACAGGCACAGGCACTGCCACCAGGCAAGGCATTCAAAGCGATACCTCGGCTTTCGTTTATTTTGCAAACCAGTTTGGCACATTCGGCTCTTTTTCTATAAGTTTCCGGTTGGAGCTCTCTGAACATAATCAGCAAAGTGACTTTCTGCGGTGGCTTCACTGTGACTTTTGTTTATATTTTTTGACTTTATATACCCCACTCCGTAGTGTCCAGTGAAAGCGGAGGATTTTCACGAATCTCGAAACAGGAACAACGAGGCATTTATGCCATATCAATACAATGTGATATCTCGGCAGTTATGCAATAGGCGCGCCAGGCTTTTACGATTTCCAAGATATATTTTCACCAATCGCTGTCAATTACGACAAATGTGATTAAGATCTGAGATTAGAAACAAACAAAAATCATTAAAAATATTGTAATACACATTTTTATTGGTTGTTTAGGTGTTTTTTTTATAGCTGCTTACATGTACACATTAGGCAATCGAAGCCAACAAAAAATCTGGTTACGAAAAATGGGTTCAATCGTGAAAATTCTTACACAGACTTTACTTTGTTGGCAGATTGCAAAACTGAAGGCTTGCTTTTTATGATTTATGAATTTAATAAGAGATTTAATCCAGACTTAACACCTGGATTTTAAAGAATTAATGTAAACTTTGTAGATTTGGAAAAGTATTTATGATATTTAGCTAAGCAGCTCCCAAAAGTAGATCTAAGAAATAATTTTACAATTAATTAATATTCTGAAATAATAATAGCATATATTAATTGTTATTTGTATTACATATTCAATTTATATTTAGGGAATATCAAGACTTTATCATATTATTCTTATAAGGTGTTTAATTATTTATAGCTTTTCCCTATTAAAAAATAGCCAAATTTCGTTAACAAAAAGCCTGGGAATCCCCCTAATTACTTAGTTGATTGAACTTTATCTTGCAATCGAGAAACTCTCCTACAGAGACCTTGCTTCTTTAATTTATGCATTGTTCAACAATTTGTTTGTCTTCAGCTCGGAAGTAAACATTTGTTGTGCGAAAAGAGAAGACTTTCAAAAAAAGAGGAAGGCTTTTAAAATATTTTTCCTTTGTTTGCATTGAATTAACTCTTTTAACTTAGTTCACACAAGATAAATATAGGTATATATGCGAAACTTTCTATGTTGGGATGAAATTTTGGGCAAATGTATATACCTAAAGAAAATATTTTTTTGCATGTGCTTTTTGTAGTTTTTTAATAAAGATTTTTAAGCCTTAAACTTCAGTTTAAGAAGTGAGCATTAATTATTAATTATTTATTACTACATTTTATTGTATATATTTATTAAATTTATATTATTAGATTATTAGATATTAAGGGGGGACATCTGAGTAACTTTTTTTAAAAATCGAAAAATTTTTATTCGAAAATTCCAGAAAAATGTTTTTTTTTTGCCAGTTACTCAGATGTCCCCCCTTAATACACTTTGTATAGTAGTAACTCCTATAAATATAAGATACCTAAGTTTTTTCGTAAATATTTTGAATCGTTAAACTTGACTTGAAGTAATTCTTATTACTTTTAAATATTTATTACTTTTTAATATTTATTACGAGAAAGGAATCTAAAATAACCAAAAAACAAGACAGGAAACTAACATCGGAAAGCCGAAATTTGTATACCCTTGCAGCTTGCCTTAGGATCAGGGCATCGAATCAAAAATCTATCATAACTAAGCCAAAAAAGCCTCAAATTCAATTCGGAAAGCTGTTCTGAGCTAGTTTTTACTAGGTTAACAAATCTGCAAACTAAATTAAAAATTTTTAAAAATCAAAATTTTTGAGAATTTTAATGATGTAACCCCTTATAAAATTTTGAAATTTAAAATAAAAATTTTGAAATTTTTTTTCTTTCCGGACATGGCTAGATAGATTCGCCCGTTGATGCTGATCAAGAATATATATGCTTTATGGGGTCGGAAATGACTTCTTCCCTGCGTTTCAAGCTTCAGAGTGAAATTATAATACCCTGCAAGGGTATAAACATCAGAAATATAAATTTTAAGCATTGCAAGCTTCTGATACCGTGCAAGGGTAAATACAATATATATCATTCAAGATTTATAGAATTTGTATATATTAACACCACTCTCCATAGTTTTTTGCTGTATATAAAAAACTAAGGCTTTCACAATGGTAGCCAGCAAAATTCCTTTCGAAGTGAAATACCTCTCGCGGAATGGCCAAGAACTTGAAGATTAATTTCATTGCGTTTCATTAAACAAACGATCCGAGTAACGGATACGCGAGACTCACTCCCTACTCCTGGTGGTGCCAACGAGTCTTGGCTGCAGAGGCGGCGAGGAGGCCGTGGTTTCAGCGGATGTGGCCGAGGAGAACCTAGGGATAGAAGCCGCCCCACCGCCACAAGAGTGGCCTCTGCAATACAATTCTAACTGTAACCCAGCCGCAACTTGATCGGGCAGTCAGGCCGTTTGGCCATTTAGCCATTTGGCCATTCAGCCATTCAGCCATTTGGCCATTTAGGCGCTCGACGAGGTGAGGTGAGGGCAGGCGGAGTGCAACGAGTCTGCACCTGATCTCGGGGCCTAAAACTGCCGTTGTTTAGTTGGTAGCGCGCGGTTTGCCACTTTATTAAAAAATTTATGCTCCCTCTCTCGGTTGGGAACTTTTTCCCGTCCACATTTTCCAGACCCAGCAACAAGTTCGATGAGCTGTTTGTAAGTTCTTTCGATCCAATAAATGCTGAACTGCCGCTGAGTGTGAACAATTTTCAAATCAGTCAGCGATTTTCGAGGAAATTATATGTCTTATTTTTATGCCAGCACTTTAAATTTATAATAATTTCGTAGAGTTTATATAACAAAGATTAATATTTAATATTCAAGTCGTTGAACTCAAAGAAAGCTAACTTGATGGAATGTATTAGTACTCAAATTATATAGTAATAGTAATATTTGGATATATATACAAATATTTTTTGAACTTAAAATGAAGAATTGAGAGCTCAAATATAACCCTAAGTTAAAAGTATCGTCTTCAAAACATCTGGCTAACCTCTACAGGTCTTCGGATGCTTCGCATCTTCTTAGATTTCCACATTTCCATAAAAGCGCATATATATTCGGATAAGAAAAGAACGCAAACGCAAAACCTCAACCGCAACCGCGCTAAGACAACGCCAAGTTTGTTAAATTGTTTATTGCATATTGATATCACGCCATTTAAGGCATGAGAAGCCGTCTTTGCATGCAAAGCGACTTGCGCAGAAGACATTTGGAGCTGGGTCTTGGGTCTCCATCTCCTCCATCTCCAGATGCGATGTGTGGGCTTATCCGCGTAGGTTAAGCTGTTAGCGGCTCTAAGATATATATTTTCAAATCAGAGACATTGGCTAATATATATATTTAACAAGATGTATTTGTTTTATTTCAGAAATATGGCTGCCAGAAACCTCACGCCCCAGCAAGGTCTTGGGTTTTTTGGGCTTCTGATCCTACTATGCTCGGCGGTTTTGGGAAAGTCGCAGATGTGCGAAGTGGAAACTGGCCAGACAAATATCATATTGGATATAGAAGAGAGCAGAGAGAACTGTAAGTAAACTACATATTTTTAAAAATATATTTAAATATATTTTAAGATGATTTAATAGTCAACCTTATCTTTTAAGACGTGAAGAATTTGTCAAGAGTCGTTGCCAAAAAGTTATCTGGCTAAAACGATGATATAAGCTCTTATAACTAGCTCTAAATAAGAAATTCTTCAACTGTATATAACATAAACATGTATTTCTTAGCTTCACTTAATTTACATATAAGTTTTTATAGCAAAACTCTCTGAGACAAAACCTCGACTTCAAGATCATAGACTAAAAGCACGAAAGGTGCAATACACCGTAATTATAATGGCCAAACGTGTTCGGTACATGGGCACCGACATCATCAAGGCTCGGCACAGCACGTCAGACTAGAAAAAATTAATATCATGTATGGTCTATAGCATAGAGCACTGTGCAACATTGTAAGGTTTACATGCTTATTAGCGTTCACTAGCCAACTGCATTCTCAATAGCTTTCATGCCTGATTTTGGTCAGAATTATGGGGCACTTATAAAGCAATCTAATTTCAAGTAGGGCCCTTCTACTACATATATTAAAATAGTCATTATAATAATCAAGGCAAACGAAATCTTGAAGGGATTTTTATTTTATAACTAAAAGATACTGATAGAGTTAAGGAACAAAAGAGTTAAGTTAACAAAATCATAACTTATTAAACGATTTCAATACTTTATCTTATCTATATGGCATAAATACAAAAATTATCTGAGTTTTACAACTTTTAATAGTTTATACCAAGCTCTAAATATGAATTTTGTATCTGTAATATCCTCCAAAGTGCCTCCTAAAATATAACGACAATCCATGAGATATGAATACTTTCGTACATGCATGATGCATCTACGTATAATGTTTGTACATACACATATGTACATCCCCAGTGTGATGGCTGCAACTTGACCCCAAAAATGCAAAGAGAAAGGCTGTCGTCGGCTGCCGCTGCTGTCTGCAGTTTTCTCGTTCGCCGGTGGAGAGCTACTACTACCTTACTTGTGTGCCCATAACCCAGCTTTATTTATTAAACTTTTACTAGCAAAAATCAATAATGCAACGCTTTTCTCTTTGCAGTCATCGGACAGCCGACCAATCCGCCAGAGCTGCCGATATTCGGGGATCCGGAGACGGAAATCGCTTTGAATTTAGTCTTCCCCAAAGGCCAGCCAACGTTTCGATTGAATGGCAAGAGACTGCAGCTCCTGGAGCCCCTCGATCGTGATGAGGAGAACCTTAGTCACATAGTGTTTCAGGTAAATTGTTACCCTCATTTTCATATCAATATAATTTTCTGTGCTGGAAAAAAAAATGCAAAGATACTTATGAAAATGTCGGGGTACCTTGCATCCCAAATCGTTTCTCCAGGTCTCCTGCACCATCCGATCGACGAACAAGAAGCGAAACATTCCCATTATTGTTCGGGTGTCGGACATAAACGACAACGCGCCGCGTTTCATGAACACGCCCTACGAGGTTACCGTTCCCGAGGTGAGTAAATAGTGCTCGTAAATGGACATTTTTCAGCGTCCCCGACACGAACATCTCTTTGTCGCCTCCCCAAACCGAAGTTTTGCCCGCATTTCTCGCCATAGTTTCCTCTGTCGTCGAGTTTCCTCTTGGCCGGGGACCGGGTGCCAAACGGACTATCACGTTATAGTCACCAATGCACCGAGAGAAATTTAACTTTAATCTGTTTCGATTCGGTATTTGCTGGGTTTTTTCCCACAAGAATTTGAGTCTCTTGAATGACATTCAGTGCATCATCCAATGGTTATTAATGATAAAATAATAGGTATTACAAAACACGGCTATAATATGGGAGCTGAAAAGGGTTACGAGGTCAACTCAGACTTGAAAACATTTTGAAAACATAATTGATCTTGAAAAATGATTAAATGATGAGGGAAACTATGAAAAGATGGAGAGTTTATTGGTATTTACAGGGACTTTTATGGAATTATTATTATAAATAAAATATTATATTGACCCTGGCCTTTTAGAAGCTTTAAATATATTTATAAAGGTATTTTGCTTATAATTAATTGACAAATTCAATCATTCTCTTAAAGAATAACTTCTTCGTAGACTTATTAAAAATATCATCATCATTGTCCAGCTTTAAGAAGTCAAATGAATCTTCAAGAGTTAGCTAGAATTCTCCTCAGTGCTGGGAGAGTCAGTCAGGTGAATGTGCATAGTCTTCCCGGCACGACAGCGGCAACTACAACTACATACTGAACACTAATGAAGTGGTAGCGAACATGTTTTCAGCGCTCCATCCCCAGCTCCCAGCTCCCAGCTTCAACAATAGCTATAGCCGCAGGAATAGGAATAGCAGTACGAGTACTCGTAGCATGTTGAGAGCGGATCCCCAGATCCCAGAACCCAGATCATGATGATCATGATCGCAGCGGCCAGTGCAAGAGTATTGCATAGACTGCCGGCTTTTAATCACGTATTTAGACTAATAACGTTCAATTACAGAACTGTTGACATATTAGAAAGCACCATCAGCAAAAGCAAAAAGCATAAAACAAAGCGGAAACGTGCTACATACAGATACAAACGTCCAAGAACCCCTGCAAAGTGAATTATTTAGCAAAAAAAAACCTTGCAGATAAACGTGCTAAATCGCTCATGTGCCTCTCTGCTGGAAAAATAGCACATAATATAAGCTGGGACAGGCTCCCATTTGGTTAATATGAAGAACCATTACCCCAGACATTTATAAATAATTTCCCAATGATTGTTTAATAAGCACGAAGAGAAGAAATTCCATTTCATTAATTGAAATTAATTAGAGTTATCGGTAGAACGTTTTCACAGTTTTCGAATTATCGTAAATATCACTTTCTTAGTAGTTATAAAAATTCCAAAGAGGCTACTGTTTTTTATGGGTTTTTCCTAGTTTATTGAGATGATTTATTCCCTAGAGAAAAGCCAGAACTCCTGTTTCCTACGATGACAAAGCAATTTAACATTTTGAAGACCGATCGATACGTTTCTCAGATAGTAAATTCAATTTTAAAGCCATACAAAAACGAATTGAAAGAGAAAAGAATGCAATATCGGAATCTGCAATCAGCGTAAATTTATTTGCAATCTTCTGCATCGAAGTTTAAGAGCCGACGAGTGGCATAAACAAAAGGGCAGGGCGGCTACCTGCCTGCGTCATCTTTTCTTTTTTTTTTATATAATTTTTTGTTGTTGTTGTGCCTCACAGAGTGTAGTATGTAGCGTGTAGTGCATTGTAAATTCGTGATCCAGCTCCCTTTATATGGCGTTCTGCCAGTCAAACTGGAATATAATTGGTATGCACTTGCCGGCTTAGGCGAACACTCCCAAGGGACCGCGTGTCCAACATGGTCCAGTCCAGTCCAGTCCACCGCCACCAGACACAAGACAACAGAATCGCATTTCATTCCCGAGCCTCTATCAAATAATTACAAGAATCGACTGAAAAATCATACCCCAAGAGGGCCACCGAAATAGCATACGGAATCTGCCCACAGGTACAAATAGGCAAAATTACAGCGATCACAGGTTATATTCTATATTATTACATAGGTGATGAATCAATAATATGAATTACACATTATAGTACCTAATATCACACATTCCAAGCTGGGATTATTACCGAAGACAATCATTATTTTTACTATCAAGCTGAAATTATTAAGATCGCTATCAAATACTGCACGCAGGTGACACCATGTGAATTTTTTGGTTATTTTCAAACACCTGAAGTTATGAAAAGCGAAAAGAGATGACCTCAGCGAGCCTGCCATTTAGCTCTGAAAACGGAAAACACACAGAAAACAAATCTCAAAGTTCAGCAGATGAAGAATGGCTTATGTACGAAGAGAGCTTGGCTGCAATTCTGGGAACTGTGGAGTTGTGGAATTGTGGAGTTTGTGGCTATGTGGCTATGTGGAGAGACGCAGAGAGTCGTCCCCTCTTGTGGTTAAATTACCGACTCAAGCGTACATAAACTGCAGACTGTATGCAAGTAGCAAACTTGCTCCTTAACATGAGTTTAAGAGGCTGCCACCGTTATATAACAGCGAGCTCTTGGGTCTTGGCTAAAGCCACTTGACTTGGCAAAACAATACGAATGGGAATAATGAGCTCATAGGCAGCTTCCGTTCTCTCTGCCTGGGAAACTGTTTATATTTCTCAATTTTTGCATCCAAAACCATCTTCATAAAACTAATCTAGATCTTTCCTTGTAGCAATTAACCATAAAATTCGCTTACGCTTTCAGAGCACACCTGTGGGAACTACTATATTCCGGAATATCCAAGCTCTGGATAAGGATGCCGGCGTCAATGGTTTAGTAGAGTACTTTATCTCGCCGGGAAGTGTTAATTCCACCGATGATTCAAAATATACCGAAGATGGTTATGGTACCTTTGCCATCTCATTTCCTCACCAGGGACAGGTTAGTTTAGACCTTTTAAAAAGATTTTCTAATGGAATTTTAATGTTATTTATTATCCCTTCTTTTATATAGGTTACCGTGGCCAAGACCCTAGACTTTGAGAAGATACACACATACTACCTAACTATTGTGGCTTCGGTAAGTGAAGTGTCTTAACTAGGCTTAAACCCTAATTACTTAATTGGCACTCAGAGGCCTTTATTAAACTATCTGCGCAGGCCAGGTCATAAATTAAAGTTTTGCGCCGAACTTAGTGCCTTAATTATGTGCTTGAATTAGCTCTTACCGGCTTATTAGGGTCTTAAACCTTTCACTTAAGTAGGGGGTTTGGAATTAAAGAGAGTGTGTAAAGCCATATAGTTTATTATAAAGTTTTGTAAAGCAATATAAAATAATTTCCCCACTATTGCTCATGAAATCTTTTTACTTCTAGGATCGAGCCAGGAATACCGCGGATCGTCTCTCCTCGACCACCACACTGACGGTTAATATAGCCGATTCCAACGATTTGGATCCCTCGTTCATCTATAGCGGCTGTACCTTTGTGGACGGAGCCTGCATCAATCCGGAGTACTCGGCATCTGTGCCAGCAGGTTCCTTGCTCGGCGTGCTCACAGTCCTGCCTGAACGCATTCAGGCCGTGGATTTGGACACCATTAATGCGCCCATTCGCTATAGCTTCGCCAGTGGAATGCCAGGAAACTACGATGACTACTTCCAGATCGATGAGAATACGGGGGTGCTGAAGCAAACCAAGGCCATAGATACTTCCACGGCCAAGAAATATGACATTATAGTGAAGGCAGAGGAGGTTACACCCGGAATCCAACGATTCACCACAGCCAAGCTGGTGATCTATGTGAAGCCAGTGGATGCCAATCCCCCGGTTATCTCATCCTCCCAAACCGAGGGCTATGTGGATGAGAACTCACCCATAGGAACCAAGGTGCTGGACTCCCAAGGAAACCCTATATCGTTCCGGACCACAGATGCTGACCTGAGCGATTCTGATCCAAAGCCAGATTATATATACGAGCTAACGACCCCCTCGTTCAATGTGACCAGCGATGGCATTTTGATTGTGAACGAGGATAACCTCGATCGCGACCCGCCGGCACCGGGACGTTTCAAGTTTCAGGTGGTCGCCAGAGAGCCGCGCACCAATGCGGCCAGTGCTCCGCTAAGTCTCACGGTCCACCTCCGAGATGTCAACGATAATGCTCCCAAGCTGGCGATGGTGCCACCCATCTCCATTACAGCCGGGGATCAGAGCGAGAGTCGCCTGGTCACCCAGGTCAACGCCACCGACAACGACGAGGGCCCCAATGCCGTGGTGACCTACTCCATTTACCACGTCTCCAACAATGGCATCCAAAAGTTCACCATTAACGACACCACAGGCGAGATCAGAACCCAAGGACGCCTGTTGGCGGGCGAGCAATATAGCATCACCGTCCAGGCCACCGACATCGGCGGGCTCTCCTCGCAGGCCATTGTGGAGGTGAGTGTGACTCCGGGACCGAACACAAAGCCGCCTCGCTTCCAGAAGCCCATCTACGAGATCCAGGTGAGCGAGGGTGCGGAGATCAACTCCACGGTTACTGTGGTCCATGCCGATGATCCCGAGAACGATGCCGTCGTCTACTCCATCATATCGGGCAACGATCTTCGCCAGTTTGCTGTGGGTCAGGAGAGCGGCGTCATTATAGTAATAAGGAAATTGGATCGCGAAAGTCTAACTCGTTACCAATTGATCCTGAAGGCGGAGGACACTGGAGGTCTCTCCAGCAGCGCCACGGTTAACATAAAGGTCACGGATATTAACGACAAAAATCCCGAGTTTGATGCCTCCACCTTGCCGTATGTTTTCCAAGTGGACGAGGGAACGGCACAGGCCTCCGTGGGCGTAGTGCATGCCACCGATGCCGACGAGGGAATCAACGCAGAGATTACCTACTCCATACCGACGGATATACCATTCACTATTAATGCCACCTCCGGGGAGATCCTGACATCTAAGGCGCTGGACTATGAGAAGACAAATGAGTACAAGTTTGTGGTGACGGCCAAGGATGGGGCACCCGACGCCAGATTGGGTACGGCCAGTGTGACTGTGATGGTCCTCGACCTTCCGGACGAAGTACCCAAGTTTAGCGATGCTCGTATTGATGTACACATTCCGGAAAATGAGGAAAACTTCCTGGTGGCCACGGTTCAAGCCTTCGACCCAGACACTATGCCGGAAATTACCTATGTCCTTCGCAAGGGCAATGCGGAACTCTTCAAGGTCTCACCCAAGTCTGGAGAGGTCAGAACAGTTAAGGGACTGGATTATGAAGCCCAAAAGCAGCATGAACTCACCATCGGAACCATTGAGAATGATGGTAATTCCCCCGGAGATACTGTGCAGTTGGTGGTGGAAGTTGAGGATCGCAACGATCTGCCTCCAAGATTTATAACCGTTCCCGATCCGGTGACAGTGAACGATGACCAGAGTATAGGAACCATCATTGCCACACTACCAGCTATCGATGGCGATGGAACATCACCCGGCAATGTGGTTCGCTATGAGATCGTGGGTCGTGGCAAGGCGCCCAAGTACTTCCAAGTGGATCCCGATACAGGTGCCGTGCGCATACGCGATGAGCTACGCAAGGAGGAGGACACGGAGTACCAGGTGGACATCAGAGCCTACGATTTGGGTGAGCCACAGCTGAGTTCGGTGGCTCCACTGCGTGTAGATGTCCATCACCTTTTGGCCAACGGCAACGGCAACGACGTCAAGTCGGATAATAAGCTGGAAAGCGGAACCATGATGAGCAGTGAAAGCATAGGCCTGGCTTTCAGCGACGACAGCTACACCACCAGTGTTCCCGAGTCAACAGAGGCGAACAGCACCTTGAAGCTTATCCAAATAGTCAACTCTAAGCAGTCGTCGGACGGACCACCGGCCTTCAAGTGCGAATTTGTGGGCGGCAATGAGGAGGAAAACTTTAACCTGAGTGTCGCCGATCACGGTTGCCACTTGCAGCTCATCAAGCCGCTGGACTTTGAGACCAAGACCTCATACACCCTTCAGCTACGCCTCACATCGCATCGGTACTTTGTAAATCCCCTAAAGGACACGGCTACCGTTGAGATAATCGTTCAGGATGAGAACGATAATGCGCCAGAGTTCGAGTTTAATCGGCTGCGCGGCCAGCGAGATACTTTCTACACCATAATCACCGAAGACATGGATGTGGACACAACCATTTTACAGGTGCGAGCCACTGACCGAGATTCCGGCAAGTTTGGAACCGTTCGATATGCCCTCTACGACGATGATGAAAATCGTGTTAATGTGGTGAGTAAATATTTTGTTTACTTAAATATTTAGAGCAAATATCACGCTTTAAAATCCACTTTTATTTATAAAATACTTTTTTTTCAGCCCACCAGCTACTTCATGATGTCCGAGGATACTGGAGTCCTGCGCACGGCCAGGCATTTTAAGAATGAAAACGATTTCCCCATGACATTCTTGGTGGAGGCCCGCGATAGCGATTCGCAACAGGAACAGGGTTCCCATCGCACCCGGGCTAGGATAGTGGTCAATAAACTGGCCGATATCAATCGCATGGCTTTGTCCTTCCCGAACGCCGCTCCCAGCGATCTGCGCAACTACTACACCGAGCTGGAGGAGCTGCTGGACAAGAAGACCGGCCTTGTCAGCGGCATTGAGCGCATGAGCAGTCAAAAGTACCTGGCCAAGAATGGATCCGTGATTGAGAATCCCTCTGCCACGGATATATGGTTTTATCTCATCGATCCCAAGACGGAGCAGCTGCTGAGCCGCAAGGATAGCATTGTGGAGACCACTTTGCTGGAGCCAGCTGCCCGCTCCGAGCTGAATATTGCTCTGCCAAGGGCCACAGCTGAAAGTATATCGTTTCCGCTTGAGAGAAAAGATCAAGGTCATACGGTGAGTTGTTACATTCCTTATAAGAGTTTCCTATAGAATTCTTTAATTATTTATGATTTATTAATAATTTATAATGCTACAGGTCAAAGCCACTGCTGTAGATATTGATAACGAAGTCTTCCCTTTCACCCTGATTGCAATATCACTTGTTATACTTATTTTGGGCACCATAGGCATTATTTATATATGCATTTCTTGGTCAAAGTAAGTAGTCTTTATCTAAAATTCCTAATTAATAAAAAAACTAAAACATTTTATATAAAAAATCTTAAAATAGATACAAAAATTTCAAGCAACGCATGCGCCAGTACTCCTCCACGAACCCCACTCGCTACGATCCCGTGATTGTCAATCCACAGGCCTCGAATGCCAGCGAAACCATAGCCAATATGAAGGAGTACGAGACCCAGATGCTGGCCATGGCCGTACCCCCAGACGTAGATGATGATCTGCAGCTGGACTTCAGTGCCAAGAACCATGCCTTCTCTCTGGACAATGTCAGCTACATAACGCACAAGGAGAACTCTAATGGCGGTGGCGGTCAGTCCAGTCCATCTCATTCGGACGCCACAACGGCCACAATTGCCACCTTACGGCGGCACAAGAACCTCAATAATGCCAACAATATGAACAACAATTTGGCCATAAACAACCGGCAGAACACCTTTAATCGCACTCTCGAGATCAACACCCGGAACAATGCCAATCCCCTGGGATCTCCTGCAAACGGTGCTCTTTCTGGGACTCTGACTTTGGGCAGGATCAAGCATCAGAATAGTAATCATTACCAGAATGGGGTGTACAATATAGATCCCACGGGGCCCAACAATCTGGCCAATGCCAAAAATAACGCTTATAGCACGATGGGCAGGCGAGGAAATACATTCGGCGACGTGGGATTGCTCAATGGCAACGGAGAACTGATGAATGCTACCTTGGGTCGGAACGGTCAGCTCAACAACAGGCTTTATGGCGGAGAAGTGCCCATCACCAATCCGCTGTTTCAAAGGTAAATATATTCTATTAACATCCTTTGAGATTTAACTTAATATTCTCTATTTGCAGATCCAATTCCGATCACAATCACCTGAGCAGCACAAACGAGAATGTGTCCTTTGGCAAGAGAGACTATGGTCAAATAGGCTTCTCGTATCTGAACGATTTGGATCGCTCGGAGGTGGAAACTACAACGGAACTATAAGGAACTATAACGTTTAACAATTAACAGACTTTGTTAATATATTTAGCTGCCAATTTCTTATTTTTAATAGTGCATTTCAACAACGAGAGCAGTTGCCATCAATTTACGATTAAGGCATAATGCTATCTGTAAATACTTGAGTAGAGAAACTGAGCGGAGGAACTGATAACTGATATATATTTAACTGTGCTTTAAGATCAGATAATTACAGTCATTACTTTTAAGCAAAGCAGAGTGCATATTTTCTATTGTCTAAGCAACAGCAAGAGCTATGCATTTTTCTGTATAAAAAATGAGAGTTGTTAAAAATAAATACACATATAATGCAATTTTTAAGCTGTGTAAATTATTAGAAGCCATTAAATGTAAATATATAAATAAATATGTAAACCAACAAGTGGATTATTTTTCTACATTTATTTACGATTGCAAACAGTAAACATTTAAACTACAAAGTCTTACGAAGTAGAACTAGATTGGTCTTATACGGGCTCTATGAGTTTAATTCCATCCTTGTTATCCTTGCCATGGGCTGTGGTGACGTTAGAGACTGGGCTGACATTGTCTTTGGGCTCTGTTTTTATTGGGACACTCGTACTGGCAGACGTGGTGGTGGTGTCGTCCTCTTCGGTCTCGGACTCGCATTTCTGTGGAGAAATGTACAATAATAAAAACAAGTGAGAAAGGGAAAACTAAACAAAAGTGAATGAAATGTTTGGGTTAATGAATTAATTACTATGTTAGCTAGTTACTGGTTCAGTAGGGCATCGAACCAAGGCATGTTCTGAATGCCCTCGAGCATTCGCAACACCTCGTTAACATTGGTATCGGTCTCGTCTATGACTTGATAATTCAGTTCGGAATTGTCTTGAAAAGCTATTGGGTTTAGGTCTAAGGGGCTTGCATTAAAGTTGTCTTGATCGAGAGCTTCGGTGGGACTGACTGCTTCGGGACTGGGCTCTTCATCGACCTCCTGGTCAGAGCCCAAGCCGATCAAGCTTTGGTTGTCAAAGGCCAAGCCGAGATCAGCGTCCAAATTGAGAAATATATCGTCGTCGAGGGAATTTGCCAAATCTCCGGCCGTATCGAGATCAAAGTCGAAGATGCCATTGGCAAAGTCCAAGTCCAAGTCATCACCGCCCTCAGCTGGCTGCTGCTCAATGCTAACCGGTGGCTCTTCTCCAACTAAATTGTCACCACCGCGGCCAGCAGCAAAGATACTTTCTAGCGGCGGTGTGCTTGGTAGTTCATAAAACTGGGGGGATGGGGATGAAGAGGTCGGCAATTTATTCGGTGTGGAGTGATCACAAAAGCGACTTAATAAGACAATACTAGGTAGTACTTATGTTCAAGTGTTTCTTGTGTGTTTCAATCTATATACTTAGCACTAGCGTTACAACAAAATGTAAGCCTAAATATAGCTTATGCGCAGTATCGGGTTGTTAAAACTGTTTGACAGTTTCTGCGGCTACTGTGACTCCTGCACAACTTATGGCAATGGGTGAAGAGGCAGTTGGAATAATCAAGTTTGAGTAGTAACATGTGGTGGTTATGCGTTGGGTTATGTTAGGTTTTTGGGTCTGTGATTAACGCACCTTTTGGATATACTGGCGCTTGGCCGGCGCCACGGTCAGGTGTAGCACGCAATTGGAATCTTCGAGAATACTGGTCACCGGCTCCTGGCAGACAACACCACTCCGCTCCACGCCGCAAGCCCGGAAGAGGACCTGACGCTTATCCTCCAGTATATGCTTGCGGCAGTGCTTGCAGCAAGGCAGCGTTCGTTCGCCGCACTTGACGCCGCCCTCGGTGAACACGCACTTGGGGTTGCTCGACGACTTGGAAGCGTACAGGGTGTCCTTGGCTCGTTTCTCCTTTAGTTTCTTGTAGAGCACCGCCTCCATGCCCTGGCGACGATGGTACGTGTTCAGAGCCTTTAACTGGTCGTACAGCTTACGCTCGTGCGGCGTTTCCTTCAGCTGGTCGTGGATGCTGCCTGTGAAATTAACGTATCGCTTAGAAAACCTTCAAACCAACTAGTATTACAAACTTACAATAAATCTCTCGCTCGCGGCGTATATCGTGCAAGTACTTGCGACGACGTTGCTTCAGGACGTTCTGAAGGTGGGAGATCTGCTCGCGGTAGAGGCCCTGCAGCTTAATCAACTTGGACTCGGCCACACGGACGGCCTCGGCTCGCGTATAGACGCCAGCATGTCTGCAAACAGTATTTGTTATATATTTACTCAAAAGGAGGAGCCAAAGCCTTACTTTAGTGGATCATCATCTTCCGAATCGATGCTCTCGTAGTCCGACTCATTGAACTCAATATCCTGAGCGGTGTTCCTAATGCAGGGCGGATCGTCGTCGTTGCTGGAGCTATCAGAAGCATAGTCCAGGATGCGACGACGCTTGCGCGCTGCATCCACAATATCGCCAATGCTGTTGCGATGATCTTGGGAATCTGCAATAGAATAACCTTTAGCTTGGGCCAAAAAGCACTCCACTTGTATTGAACCTACCAAAGGGGGTAACGTGTGGCGAAACCACATCTATTTCATCATCATCGGGCTCTGTTTTTAGCGGCTCCGGGTTAATGCCCTCCACATTGATGTGCGACGACAGGCTGTTCAGCAGCGTCTCGTTGGTTTCCACTAGTTTGCGTACGCGTCCAACAGCCACGTGCGTCTTCTGCAGCTGCGACTGGCGGTTGTGCTCGAAGCACAGCGTCGTCAGTATCAGTTCCTTCTTGTTGTCAAACTTGGGCACCGCATTGATGCACTTCCGGCCATTCGCATAGACATGCGTGCACTGGCGGTAGTTGGAGCGCGGATCGCGCAGAATGTGCCGGATGCAGTACTCATGTCCCTCGACCCTCATCAGGCTGCACTCGTACGTGGGATTGGCGCAGTACTTGATCTTGGCCAGCTCGCTGTGGATTTGGTCGCGCAGCTGCTGCTCCTTCTCCGGCGTGCAGGCAGTGCCGGAAAAGCGTGCGCACTGCCGCAGTTGGTTTGGCGAAAAACTTGCCATTTTACTTGCTCGTTGTGAATGTGCCAGCTTTAAAATCCAAGTTTTTTCCTTGATTTTCGGTGAAAAACATAAAAAGCGATGCCTCCTGGGGATGCAATATGACCAGGTCTGTCAAACCGTAATTAGCCCAAAACGCAGCCGCACAATATGGCGTCGCGACCAGGAAGGGGTGGCAACGCCACTTTTCACACAAAAAAGGCTGGATGTGGCCAGACGGCGCAAAGTTTTCGCTTTATTTTTAAATTGTTTGAAAAGAATGCATTGCTTTTAAGTGGCTTTTATTTATAATCCGATGCTTATGCTAACTGTAAACTTAATTTATAGCACTGGAAACCCCCTCAATAGGTCCGAACATATTTGTTTGGTAAAGTATAATTTTTTCTTAAAACTAAACATAATCGTATTGCTCGCTACAAAATACGTGTTGTAAATTTCCGCCAATGGGTGTTAATTATCCACCACATTCATGTCAAGCAGCAGCTTCTTGGTCTGCAGATCGATGAGCCGGCGCTTGGCCCTTGCCAGCTCGGCCATCTCATTGTAGTATATCGTTTCCGCCTTTAGCTTCTCTTCCAGCTGCGTGGTGGATTCCGCCAGCGACGCGGTGTCTGCGGCCATAAGGTTGTGCAGGTCTCCTGGCTCAGGCTCAGGCTCCGGCTCGGGATCGGGATCGTCCTGCCGGGTGTCCACAACCGCGTTGTCCGAGCTGTCCACCACGTACTCGTAGAAGGGTTCCTGCAGCGAGATCGAGGTAACCTTTAAAGAACGCAAATTTAAAGCAGTTCGAACTGAGCTGTGGGAAGAGCGCGTCTACAAACCTCGTCATCCAGGTGGTCCGCCACCTTCTCAATGATGCTGTCCACATCGTCAAAGTTGACCTTTTCCAGCGGATCCGACAGCTGTCTTCGCTCCAGGCCGGCGAACACCTCGTTCTTGGGCGTCATTAGGTGATGGTGCGAGTGGTTGAGTGTCTTGGCCAGGTTGTTGTGGCGCCGCACAATGTGGCGCATCAGGTTGGAGGAGGAGTGCTTCGATGAGAGCGTCTTACCGCAGTGCTTGCACTTGGCCATGAACTCCGAGATACGGATGAAGTGCGCCCACAGCTTGTTGTTCTTTCCAATCACCTTGTTTCGCATCTCGGACTCGTGGCTGTGCCGCTCCAGATGCTCATGCTTTCCGCCAATGATCGTGCGGACCGCACTCTTCGTCTCGCCCTCGACCTCCTGCAATTCCATGCTCAAGTCCTCAGAAACAGATGCATCCAGCTCGTCCTTGAGCTCCGCGAGCATTTTACCCTCCTCGCCGGCGAAAATCGTGCGGGCCAGCAGCTTGTGGTTGCGGATGAGATGGCGGGTCAGGTTGGACGAGGTGTGTTTGGAGGAGAGCGTCTTGTCGCAATGCTTGCACTGTACTATGTACTCGGTGAGGCGGTGAAAGTGCGACAGGGCCTTGAAGTTCTTCCCGACCATAGTGTCATGGGGGTATCCAGGGTGTGGGTACCGACGCCTCCGGCCGATCTGATTGGTGGGGCTCGCAATGTTGTTAGCGTATTTATCAATCAATTCGTTTATTTTCAGAAGTACAGTGTATTTGGCAGTGTTGCCAGATGCGAAATTGGCTTTCGACCTAAAAAATCTCAAGGAGTTGAACACTTTTATCGATACATATCCCATTAACTAAAAAAATATCTGAATGTATTTTCATTTTCATTTTAAAACGATGTACTATTTTATTATTGAATTAATTTTGAGGGTCGATTATTGGTTTAGAAGCAGCCATTTCATAACCCAGACTGGCAGCAACAATGTTATGAGCACTTTAGTATGACCAGAGAAGTAAACAAAAAGGCAAATCCTTTTCTTACAAATGCGGATAAAATTGATGAATATAATATTTACGTTAGAGAAGCAAAAACAACTAAACAGCATATCAAAAAACTTGTCAATTAAAACGTATTATTTTAAAACAGCTTGTTAGCGTACCAGTGCTGCCCATAGAAACGTCAAAAATCGATGTATCGATACAGATCTATCGATAGCGGCATCGATGTCATTGCAACACTGCCGAAAAGTAACCCTACTTTTTTTTGACACGAGGTTCCTTTCTTTCTCGCTTTTTACTCGAACATGGGTAAGTCAAACTCCAGCAAAATGCGTTGAAATATCAAGAAAATCGGCCGGAAAAGGCCCGCAAACAACATGAAATTGTGCACCAAGTACGTTTACGTCTGCATCTGCCCAGCAGTAGCTAGAAATATGTGAATATAACGAAATATCTGTGAAAATAACTCGCGCCCCGTGCAATGCGGCGATGTGTTCCCCTTCCCCACACAATGTGATGTTGTACTCTTCTTGATATTTA